ATTTTAAATCGCTACCAGATTGATAAAACTGGTTTCAAAATGTCGGCGTTGTTAGGGCAACCAGTGCATAATCTAGAACTGGCGCCTGACCGTTCCCACAACATGGCTAATTAAACCTTTTCCCAACCTCCGTTTAGTGTATGTTATTTCTGTCGTCACGTGAGATGAACCATCGTGATTACTGAAGGTCACTCACTGCTCCAATAGCAAATCGACCTTCTGGCTCCCTTGCCTATTCGCTGAATTCAATTCAGGTTGCTACGGCATCTCACGACATTCTAGCAACTTAATCTCACACACGAGAAAAAAATTAACAGATTTTTACTACCATAATTTTCAAATAGCTTCAGACTATCAAAATGAAGGACTTACAAATAAGGCGGAAACTGAACCCTTGCCAAAGGAAACTTCCAACCATGCTCAATTTTGGCGTCACGTGTAACCGGGTACACTAAAACAACAGATTCTGCGATTTTCTGGTAATTTTTGAGGGAGCTGTGGCTTTTTAAATAGTCACACTCTCAAATTCTGACCGTCAGGCAGCACCTTTCGAAGTTTTGATCGATTTATGCTTCGGTCAACTCTGATTGGCTACTTAGAGTCTCCCTTGGGGAGTATTAACGAGCGCTGGGAGCTTAATTGTTGCCTGCGATGTATGCAAATTAGACAAACAGGCTTAATTAATAACAAAACAGTCATAAATTGAGAAAAACCAACAGCGACAGGAACACATGTAATATCATTATTATCATCCTGCAGGAACCAAACGCTTCAATCAAGTCGTTTTGTCGTGTACACGACATGGCGGGCTCGCGTTGCCTATTCGAGGGGGTGGAGTGGGGTAACGAGGCGGGCATAGAAAGGGGGCTAGCTACCCGGTCTGTCGATGGATGACTAATGTCTGAGTGCCTCGTCGAGCCGGGGTAACACGACAACCTGTTTCGCGTTTTTTTCCCTTTCAGCTTCCCTCCCATGGCCGGTGGAAGTGTTTATCTTGTCAGTTCATATTACATCGAGCACGTAAACAATGATTTCGGACTTAGAAGCACTCGAGATGCATGATAAATTTGAAGTGGATCGAACGATTTCCCCGTACAGTCTGTGGTGGTGGTGGTGGTGTGGGGGAGAGAGGAAGTTGCGAGTGCGTCATAGGTCTAATTTCGTGCATGAATGAAAGATTTAAATGCCAGGCGCGTTTAGGGCCCTTTGAATTGAAAAAAAATGCAAAATGTTTATTGTGTGAAGTAGTTGAATTTCCACTGTACAAAAAGAGCGTGATTTCTGCATTCGTTTCCTAGTCCCAACTCAGCTCCCCACTCAATGTGTTCCCGCAAATCTTCAATCTTGAAGTGTTAACAAGGGAGGACGGTGATGTTTTATGAACAAGAAGTTGTGTGGATAGATTGTGCTGGTTTTGAGGACGTTCCGCAGAATTTGTTGGGAACTCGGTAATGTGGCAGACCTCGTCCATTTGTGGGGAAACAGAATGCCATTGGCAAGGGGTGCCATAGCTTCCTAGTAGATTCTGAAACACCACGATTGATTAGTTCAATTATTGCCGCCAAGATGTCTGCTTCCAAAAGATAACCGTCTTTGTAAAGAGTAGTCCTGAATGGATCAAATTCTAATAAGCAAGGCCAGATTCGCTGGACACCGTAAACACAATCAACGTCGTCTTCCATTTGAAGATGTACCTGTCTAAGAAGGCAATGTCGAGGAACAACAGCTACTGCACTATTAGTTGATTGGTCTTCGGATTGTCGAATAATTCAACAGAGTGCTCTAGCGAATGACAAGCTAGTCAGCAACTCGACATGGCTGAGCACGAACACGAAATTGCTTTCAGCTAGCAGGAAAAATGCGTTGACGCTGTTGTGGACCCCAGCATGTGGTCTTAAACTACACCGGCGCCATGGAATTAACCCTGGCACGATCACGCTACCCTGCCATCCGCGATGAAGAAAAAGACCGGAGAGGACGTGGACACAACCGTTTTACTTCAGAGCTCAACCACATTGGTGTCGTTGTGTCGTGTTTAGTGTTTGCGCGTGTGTATTTATACCTCAGATGTGTGAGTCATAAATAAGCCAACATCTAGACCTCGATGTAAGAATAATCTAGGCGAACCGTTCTTGCTAGTGAGGGGGGAATTGAGGTTGCACGCTGCGGGCGACATGCTGCGAAAAGGGCGACCCTGTGTCGGAGGCTGAAGTGACCGGTTTAACGAGTGGGAATCAATGCGAATCACATCAACTCAACCAATCTGGATAAAGTGATGGTTCATTAACCTGATCGACGTACTGAGGACAAATTGTAGAGCTCTTAATGTTCACTTGTAGCAGTCCTGTTATGAAAGCAAATAAAAATATTTCATTTCACTCTAGATCACCCCACGGTACCGCCAAGTCAACGTAGATTTTGTGTGTCAGTTTGGTGTTTGAGAGCTCGATTTGTGAACTCGTCCGTACAGGCCTATCAGTTCTCGTTGAGAGACCAGGTGACTCTTGTCGTCATGACAACGAAAATTCACAAAATCTGGATCCATGATGAATTTCGAAGATGAATACAAGTAGAAGAACTCGATTTCCCGTTGGGCGGGAAAAGCCGCTATGAAGAGAACATTTGTTTAAGCGCAGGTTACTTTCCCTTTGGACACAAAATCGTGGTGACTAACACGCTTACACGTCGTGACAAAAATCGGTGGTCAGCTTCTATCGTAAACGCTGTTTATGCATTATTAAGGCGTGAATCTCCAGGTAAAATTTCGCGAACGCGACCGCTTCATGTTTAATGCACAACCTGACAGACGCGGTACCCCATTTGCATGCTTCGTTCCACCCTGTTCTATGCACGGGACTGTCAACGCCGTGTCTGGCCAAAGTTGCTCAGGTTTTAAGTACTAGCACCACTGTACTGCTCAAACACAACCAAAGGAAGAGTGTTAGTATTGTTATGAATCGTGCTTGTGCACACTCCTTAATTCGGTCGCTCCAGCCTCCGACACAGGGTTCCCCTTTTTGTAGCATGTCGCCACCCGCGCGGATCCTCAACTCCCCCTCATCAGCGCGAAAGATTATCGTAGATTGTCCTTACACCTAGGTCTCGATGTTAGCGCATCTATGACTCACACAAATGAGGTATGAATACACACGCGCAAACCCCACACACGACACAACGACACCAACGTGGTTGAGCTCGGTTGCTGAATTGCCCTGTTTGAGATCTCACTTAGGGGTAATGAAAATCCACCGAAATGATTTATTTACGATATTGTGTTAACATAGAAAGACTGCTTCTGTGGTTCTTCAAAGAGGAAGCCAAAAGCAGTCATGGATATTAGAAAATACTTTATCAAAGCCGGTGTATGTATCCCGCGTTGACAATTAGTTATCAATATTACTACTATACAAGTAGTAGCAATAGTAAATGTGCATACTTTTTCACTAAAATTAGAGCCATTTAATGTAGGCATAAGGCAAATCATATTCTAATTAGGCTCTAAGCATGCTTGAGCCAAACAGCCAAATTTACCAACCAAAATGAACGTGTTACAAATAAAGCGGAAACTAAAAACTTGTAACTTAATTAATGGTCTAGTGGTAAAATTGAATCACTTCTGGCAATAACTCTCAAACGGCTACAGTCACTTTCTCTTCTTCCACATTTATTCTTCATAATAGTACTGGCGCATTCAGCATCTTCAATTAATCTCACTTCAGAACCACCAGCCTCTCGGATTCAGTGCAGGAGCATCAGACTTCTCTGTCTTGCTCGTGTAGTCATGTAGGCCGGCCTCGAAACATTGGACAAAAATAAATTTGTGGTAACGTATAAGCGGACAGATAGAATACAAGAAGGTCAAGCAGCCAAATAAAGGAAAGGGTGATTGGACGGCGCCTGTCCTTGAAATAGCCTTGAAATAGATAGTCTACATATTTTACGCAGGCTAGACTCGTGACAACTGACGTAACAACCTTGACTATCTATTAACCAATCATTTTAAGTTCTATTCATGTTACAGAAGGATCAACTAAAATTAAATGGTTACATGTACAGGTTATAATCTGCACGCACGCACATTTATGGTCTGATCTGCTTTTATAGATAGTATATAAATAGCTAAATACAAAAGACGTATTTTTCTGTTAAAGGTGTTAAATATTTAATATACATCTAGAAGCCACGCTTAATAGGATGATTGTAACGGCTTGATTAACACAAGTTTTTAGCACGTTAGCTCCTGTCCTTATAAACTTTAAAGAAACACACACGGTAGCATATTTGACTGACTAGTACATGAAAAATATTTGCATTTTTTTTATAAATACCATGACACTACACATTTTCTTCAACATTGATTGGTTAACTAAGAAATAACAAAATCTGCGACTAACATTATGACAAGCTATGCCTTTAACCTAATAGTAAAAAACACACTAAATATCGTTCTAAATGGAAAGAAAATTTTAAACTTACTAATCTCAGTAGTGTTTGAATAAAATTACGTAAAATTGCAAAAAAAAAAATTTTTATTACAATTCCAGAGGAAATAAAATTTTTATTCATAATTTAATGTCCTATGTTAGTTTGTAAGTTCGTAAAGATTTAAGAAGTCACTTAACAAGTCTATGAATTTGATTCTAAATGTTCTCAATTTACAACGATAAAAGCAGCCACTGATTATGCATTAAAAATTCGAAGTCAGTACAACGATCGAGTTGACCTAATGGTGCGTTAGATATAGTTCGCAAGCCTAGAATTCCACGATTAATGTTGATCTTTAAGTAGAATGAACTCAACTCAGCTTAAACCAGTAATGGATTCGAGGACATAGACCAAAAATTTCGATAATGTGTCGTTAAAACATGTTTTAAATATGTTTGAAATATCGTAATGTTACAAATAAACTGTTTCTATCACTACTGGCTAATACCTAAAAAAGAATCCTATGACCTTGTGACTTTGTTTGATTCCTTGTCTTTTCCTGCTGCGTGCTTAGAATGGTTGGGGTTGGACGTTTGCATTCCATTTTGCGGTTCTATTCGTCTGCACGTCGAAGAGTTCGTACACGATTTGCACCTAGCCCAACTGGGCTTCTTCATATAGGTGGTCTGCGTACGGCTCTCGTTAACTATATTTTGGCGAGAAAGCATGGCGGAGAATTTGTTCTTCGAATCGAGGATACCGATCAAGTAGATCATCTACTTATGTGGAAATATATTTACAGTCTCGATGTTTCCCGGGTGCATTAAAGGAAATAACTGATTGTCTAGAATGGGCAGGTCTAAGCCCAGACGAAGGTCCCACCAGCGGTGGGCCTTTTGGTCCCTACATACAGGTACATCATGTTTGGAATCTCGGGTTTTCTGCTCGATTAGTGTGAAAACGTGTTTGTATTTTTTACAGACTTTGAATATATACATGGACTTTCTAAATAAGGGTGTTTATTAAGAAGATCTCTGTACGTTTTTATCTGAAAAAGCAAACATTGTCCCAACGCATTAGTAATTCTTTTCGTCACTATTATGCCTAAAACTATCTACATGCAGTTGCATTAAAATTTGCAAATTTGTAGTTTTCTCGCCTGTTTAAAAAAAAACAGGTTTTGATAAAATTAAGCGTTTTTGTCCTCAAACGGACAATTTGGTGTTAAATGCCTTCTAAGGTAGTATGCTGTAGTACTTTGTTAGCTTTTCTCCCTAACCCGATTCGTCCTTGTTTTATGGTGGCGCTTGTTATGTCGTTCGGACAACCTTTCAGATTCCTACCTCATCAGCTGCTTTCTGTTTTAAACTGTAGTCAGAACGTTCTGAAATATATCGAAAGTATGCTGACCACTTACTTCAAATTGGGCGCGCCTACCACTGCTTCTGTTCGCAAAAACGCTTGGATATTCTCAAAAGCGAACAAAGAAGGCGCGGGGAGACTGTTCGATATGACGGTCGTTGTCGACACCTCTCAGCACGCGAAGTCGAGTCGAAGCTCTCTCAGAATGCCCCTCATGTTTTGCGATTCAAAGTAATGGTTCACTCTGCTGGACATTCACTTTTTTGCGATGCCGACGTCATTGGCTATGTATGTGTACTTTACAGATGCAGCAGCCCTCCTGTACAGTCTTCGACGACATTGTTTTCGGCCAAATCACATTTCAAAACGTTGAGGATGAAGGCGACCCAGTACGCTCCCTTTGTAAACCTGTATTTACCCTTACGTAGCATAACCCGTTTATGTCAATTTTCACAATTTTTCGGTGTTTCATGGCTCACTATTCACTTTGAAACCTTATCGAGTACTTGACTAGGTTTTCGGATTTAGTGTTCTATCGTTACTGTCCAATCAATTACATCGGTAGCATCTTCTTATCCCCTCACCAGATTATAATGAAATCCGACGGACTTCCTGTCTACCACTTTGCCAATATCGTGGATGATCATCTGATGGAAATCAGTCACGTGATCCGCGGGTCGGTGAGTCAGCATTCCCTTTTCACATGGTGCTTTTCATGCCAGTGCATCCTACTTCGAATAACCTTCCATAAAAGACTTAAGCGATTGGTTCAAACTACTTCAACCCCATTGGCCGACTCAAGGTCAGGTCAAATTCGCAAACTTCTATTACTTGTGCCACAAACAAATGCTATTTCTTATCAGCGCGCCCTAGCCAATGACACACAAGACCGAAGAGCACTCTAATTGGTCATCTCCTCCTCCTTATTTTTGTTGTAGGAGTGGCTGACGTCGGTGCCGAAGCATCTCCAACTCTACGCCGCGTTTGATTGGCAGCCACCACAATTTGCGCATCTGCCCCTGATGCTGTCAAGGTGAGGCCACCACTTAAATGTGGTTCCTTCAATCTACGGATTTCCACCATATCTGATTGGTCACTTTCTGAGTAGCCGCCAATTAAACCGTGTTTTCTTTAACACGCACTGATCGGTTTTTGTGTTAGTCAACACGGCGCTGGATTTACAGTCGCGTGAGCGTTTAGAGGGATGCGTGATGACGGTGGACGATGTTTCTTCACCATCATCGGTTTTTTGTAGTTCAGGCCGCAAGTTCTCCAAGCGTCTGGCAGATCAGGAGGAGGTGGGGTTCGTGGCGAATTTGCGTTCTGCTGGTTACCTGCCCTCGGCCCTGTTGACCTGGCTTTCAGCCACTGGGGGTCTGTTCAGCTGCCCTTCCCTCGATGCCGCCTCCCCCACCTCATCCACTGTGTGGAGCCCAGACCGACGGATCGATGAAATGCTCGACTCGGTGAGATTCACTGATACAAAATGTTTAAACCCAAACACCACTGCCTTCTGTGTGTAGTTGAGAGGACTGCTTCTTAGTTGTGTCACGCCTGTTTCCTTAGTTTTTTTTTTGGCAAACCTGCACCCCTAGTTTGACCTCTCCGCGCTGAATCGACACCACGCGCGCGTCGATCCTGAACTCCTCCAAGTCTGTGGACGCTCGCATTTCGATCGTCTGGTTGACGAAGCCTCCAAGGTGACATGGCATTCGTCCGCCACCGCCTCCTCTTCCTACTTAGTCAACTACCTTCGTGAGTACTTCTCGTCTCCCCGACGGTGTTCTGCAACTACTGAACCATTGTAAGTAGCACATGCTGCACCTCTCGAGTATGTGTTTTTCATTCGTTCATTGACGCTTCTACCAGGTGTGTGACTTAATTTTCACAGATTTTTCAGCAAGTTGATGCAATATAAAGCGAAAGGGAACAGAAAGCGACCACGTCTGGTGAGTATGTCGCGCGCGTATGAGAGAACTTCCCATCCCACGTTCAGGAGGGTCTTCTGAGACGTGTGAACAACGTGAGGTGGTCGTGTGTTGTCATGCCGTATCAGTTTGACTTGTCTGCTTCCTCGTCTGATCGAAGTTTTTGCTCTAGCTATTAACCCTAGACAATTATGCATTGATTTGTGGTTGCACTTTGGATGTCCGGCCTTGCGTCCCTTAGAATGGACCTCCTGAACGACGAGGAGCGACTGCTGGAGGTGCTGGTGCTGTTGAAGGGTCGCGTGTGTCGTCTGTCCGATTTGACGTCGACTTTCGGCTTCCTCTGGCACCCACCTCATCTCACCCAAGCCGTCGCGTCTAGTGCTGCCGAACTGCGTGGGGCTCTCCTCAAGACCGCTGAGCTCTTGGACTCAACTAAGTTGGTCACCGACGATCAGTTGAAGGAGCTTTTAGAAACTACCCTGAAGCTAACTTCGATGCCTAAAGCGCAGTTTCTGAAGCACCTGAGGTTGTGCCTAACAGGATGCGAGGTACATTTTAACGTTTGAACAATTATGCCTACTGTTTAAAAGTAAGTAGTAACTCTGTTTTTTTTAAATTTCTTAGCGTGGCATGCCAGTACATGAACTTGTGTTTCTGTTATCACCAAAGGAGGCTGCGAGACGCCTTCGAGCAGCTTGCAAATATTTATGAAAGGCCTCAAGCTGACACCTTTTTCTACTTTTTTCATGCAGTAAAACTCTTTTAACCGCTCTTGGTAATTCCTTGAATTGGGGGTTTCAATCTAGTAAGTGGGTTTGTATTCAACTCGTGATTGCCGCGTCAACAAGGTCGTGTGTTTACAACATCAAGAAGGAATTATTCAAGGTCAAAAGGGTGACCAAACGGGTGGGAAAGTGTTTTCTGTGTTCTGGACTCGTACTCTTGAGGCGCACTCAAACTCACTTCGTCCACTAACGTTGACCTTGAAATTGCTCGAGTCTTATTGGGTGGCCTCCAGCGCATGTGTAGTGATTTGTGTTGAATCACTGACTGTAGTAAAACAAAGAGGAACACAGAGATAACATGACAAATTTTGCATCTAGTTAAGAGTTGGATCTCTCAGTAAACAGGTTTTAAAGGGGATGATCCCATTGCAAGGTATTGAATCCCTGTAAAAAAAACAACCAATGGTTGACAGGACATCAATTTTTTCGGAGGCGCCAAAGCTGATTGGTTGAAGTTGTGTCATTTACTAGAACGATCACATGACGCCAGATTCGAACGAAGATGATTGCTCAAACGAACAGAGTAGTGTTTTTTTTACTTTTAGAAGGATCAAAATGCCTTACTAAGAACGGGAATAGTTGTTCGCAAATTGTAGAGCGCATATCAACCAATGATAGGACTTCCCACTGCATTCCTGATCAAGCAGTGTATTATGCTGCCCCCCATCCCGCTATCGTTCAGCCACTTGTGATAAACCGGAGCAGGGAAGGTGGGAAAAGCACTTAGCACGGCATCGCAAGCCGAAATGTGTTTAAGATGTGCAGATTCCTCTCGCGGTATTTTCAAATTTCGCGCGCGTGCGCGCGGGAAGTGAGTGGGAAACCTGGCGATGCTATCGCCGCTGGCGGTAGACGCCCAGATTCAGGCGCTTTGCCACCGCCGCCACCACCACCTCCGCCTCCTTCTACCCCATCTCCCGGTGTGAGACAATTTTCGGAAACTTAATGTACTCTGCATGAAAGAAAAATGGGGGGTGACGTGCCAGCAAACTGTGTCGAGTGCGACGCCAGTAATCGTAGATAACGGGCGACTAGTAAAACAAGCAACCTTGAGTGTAGAAATGTGGCTTCGAGATTCCCTCGCTGTCGAATACAACTGAGTTGGCGAGATCTCCCTGAGTGGTCGCTTAAGCGAGGGAAAATTAAACTGCAATTTTCAAGGCCATCAATTCGTTAAAACAAACAATGCGACACCAAGACTGTGGGCTCGCTGTAGTCTCCATGAGATTGAAAGAATGCACTGTTTAATGACCTGAGGCTCTTGGAGACCTTTATGCTTCCAAGGCAACTTCGTGGCTCCGCTCATAACTGCACCTCCCCCCTCGTTTAATCAACTATAGCTGGCGAAAGTTGTGCTCTCATTGCGCTGCCTCACTAATTACAGCTCTTTTCATGCGGTAATTTGTGTAAATGACGATTTTGCATGTCGGGGCTCATTGACGTCGCGAATAGCAGTTGTCGTGGCCGCGCAATTGTCGACACGTCGGTTCCACCCCTTGCTGTGAATGAGGGAAATTGTTGCTTTATCAATTGTGCCACGCTGGTGACTTGAATTTGCCAGTTCACGCTACTCAGACAAGTCGACGGTGAAAACGAGTCTAAATAAATGGGTCTGTCGGTCAATACAGTCGGCTTGATCCTTCAAAAGTAGAACTTGCTGAACGTTTAGATTAATCAAGTGGGTAGCATGAAGGTGGTGTCACGTGATCGATAGGATTGGCGTGAAAATGAAGTCATGATTTCGAAGACTACGACAACTGGGTTAGTGGACGTGAATCCATAAGATTCACTACAGGCCTTTTTTGTAACCCACTCAAATGAACCCAGTTTTTGACTTATCATTGGTCATGGGTCTTGTCAACTGATTGGTAATCATTTTTGAGTCCACCAATTGGTTCCTGTTTGCGCCCATTCTGATTGGCTGATTGATCTACCTGACTTTGTTCTAACTTCCGCAGAAGTACCACAGGTGTATCGAGAGTGATCTTGAAAACAACCACAGAAACTTCAAATCTCCATTAGTGACTTAGTAAAGAAACATGTGAGGAGTATGGGTTCGGTTAAATCAGAGGGTGCATCGATCGATAAAAGATCAAGTGAAACAGACTTGCGTACCACAGGTGGGAACATGCTTAACGTGTCTAGCCTACTTCTGACTAATCAATTGACATAATGAAAGCCGCTAATTGGTTGGTTAGTCTTTGCCCTGTAGTGGGCTCCAGCATGGGGTCTTGAACCGTGCCGGAGCCACGGAATTAACCCTGGCCCGATTACGTTTCCCTGATACCCGCGACGAAGAAAAAGACCGAAGAGGACGTGGACACAACCGTTTATTTCAGAGCTCAACCACGTTGATGTCGTTGTGTCGGGGGTGGGGTTTGCGCGTGAGTATTTATACCTCAGATGCGCTAACATCGAGAACTAGGTGTGAGGATAATCCAAGATAAGTGTTCGTGTGAATGAGGTGGGAGTTGAGGATCAGCGCGGCTGGCGACATGCTGCGAAAAGGGGAACCCTGTGTCGGAGGTGGAGCGACCGGATTAAGCAGGGTGAATAAACAAGTCCGTTAGTTCGTTATGCGGAGCTTCGTGAGTACCAATGCCCTGGCGCTGAGTCAGTCCGTAATAAACCGCCGTCTGACTTAAGCGACTCACCCACCCATTCGATTATCTTTGTGGCGGCAGCTTAATGCACACACACACACACACACAAATATTCGCAGTATCACGCAAAGGCAGTCGGTAATGACACCTTCCGAGAACAACCGCCTGATTAACAACACGCGTTAATCTCTGCCTCGCCATTTCACCCCTCCCCCCCTCTCCCCTGCACCCACCTCCCCCCATCCCACCCCGGCCTCGCTTTACAGAGGCGCGCACGCATTAGTCGGCACGCGAAAATAGGCCACGTGAGGGCCAATTTTCCCCGTTGTTGTCTCGCTTTCCTGAAACAAAAAGCGGTTTTGGTCGGGGCGTCGTGATGGGTCATTTTTTATGCATATCTCAGTTTTTGGGAGGGTGCTGGTGGGGTTGGCCGGTGTTTTTGGACCACCACGTGATCACGAATTTTTGGGGAAGCAAATAGAGGAATTTGGACCTGATTTGAGCCCCCCTAGAACGACAGTTGTCCTTTTTGAGCAGGGTAATTAAGTCCAACTTTCGTGGGGAGAGGGTGACACAAAAAAGGACATTTTACGAGGTGGAGGAGAAGCAAGAGGAGGGAGAAGAGGGAGAAAAGACATTTGGGCGTATTCTGTGTGTAATTGTAGGTGGCTCCGGGGGCATGCAGGGCCATTGCAAAAGGCCTGACAACCACATTGACAGATGGCAAATCCAGTCGTGCGGTACTACCCAAATCATACTTGAGTATCTGTCTAGGGTGGTTCTTTTTTGTTCAACTCGATAGATAGGCTCTAAAGTTAAAATTTGCTTGAATTTTCGAAAATTTCGGTGACTCCGCTGACCGAAATTTGCACTTTGAGTGTGCACAATGCGAAATCGATTTTTCCCGTATCGATTTTCTTCAGGCTGCTTCGCGGGTTTGTTAACTGGGTGGCTGACTGGTCGCTGAGTGCGCGTGGGTGAGGTTTCATTACCCTTTTTTCCTGTTTACTTGAACATGTTTTTGTAGTTTAATTTGTGAGCTAGTGAATTCACCACACAACCATTCTGCATGCCTAAGCGGCCGTCGTCGGAGTTATCCACAACGCTGCATATCTCACCTTTCGTAGGGCACTGGCGAGTCATCGCAGACTGGATGACTCACAGCACTCCCCCACCCCTACCCTTCAAAATGAGGCTTGCGAGGATTTGCGAGACGCAGCTCCCAACCGAATGGTTCCCTCCGAAATAACGCTGTTTTCAGGCAAGAGATAAGCCCGAGTCGAGTGAACAATTCGCACGGCATGAGGGTATGGTCAGATGTGTGACTACCCAGCGTTATCGACATATCCAGTTGAACAGTCATCATTTTGGGGGGAGGGAGAGGTTAGTTGAGGGTGGTTTGGGTGGCGATGGCTGTAATTTAGCTTCCTTACTGCTACAAGGCCACGAAATTTGCCTGTTTTAGAAATGGATTCTTTGGCGGGTAACAAGAAACGCTTGTAGCTTCATACGGTAGCAACTTGAGAGCCAAGTGACAAGAGTAAGCACGATTTTGAAAAGCCGCCATTTTTCAATGATTAGGCCGCATTTGACACAAATGACAAGGCAAAAATGCTTCATTTGGACATGAAAATGGCCAAAATGTAAAACAATAACCTTTTGCAACTACCTGGAAATGTTCCAGAAGTGGCTACTTGTCGAAAATAAGGCAAATGAACAGGCCTCAATCACTATGGAAACTCAGTACTAGCACATTTAAACAACGCGCCGTCGGAATGGCTCCCACGCTCACTTGACTTGATTTTATGTGGATTTGTGAAAAAGAACGCATCCTATTTAACTGAATTCAAATCACTTCGAATTCGAGGCATCGATTTTGGTGTCAGCCAACAAGCAAGGTAAGCCGCAGACGCGTTCCTTTATTGGTTGTGTGCTTCTGCAACCCCTCCAGTTAGATAATGAAAAAAAAACACGATTTAAAGCTGGCCTCACTTTGTAAAATGACACTTGTTCTAACTGTATGTACAGGTTGATTTGAAGCTGGATTCTGCCAGAACACGAAGACAGGAAATACGGAGTGAAGGATCGGGAAAAACTGGTCTACGTTGGAGGAAGGCCTTGCCAGAGAGTTGTGCAGCCACACCTAGACATGGTGTCAGTTCCGTAAGGCGGTGAGGTGAAGTAGTAGCCGTTACCAGTGGTTCCTTCCAAGGGCGGCACGTGACCATCGGACTGGCCAATCATCTCCACTGGTCGCATGCACCAATTGACGTGTTCTGGTGTCGAAAGGTTGTACTTGGGTGTGTCCGGAGACAGCGCGTTATTGATCGTTGGGGATTGGGTGTACACCATGCCAAGCGTGGAAGGTGAGTAGAGTGCGCTGGAACCACTTTTAGGGGTTCCACTAGGAGGATGGCTCTTTGACTTGGATCTGACCAGCAGCTTGATCATGCACGCGCAACTGATCACTAGCACGATCGCCACTGCTACCGCAATGATGATCATGATGCTGGCGATTTGGGATAGTCGTCCCCACGACTTGCTCCCGACTGCTAGTGTTGTGTTTGGCCCGCCTGAGAAGCGCGTTTTGATGCTGGACGTGGAATCAAGATGGGGATTTCGTGGACTGATGTAGACGAAGAAGTTCCACTCAACCTTGGTGGCATTCTGCCCCATATCGTAGAGCAAAACTTTGATCGCATAGACGCCTGGGGTCGGACCTTTCTGGTGCCACATCGTCGTCAACGCGCCTGTCACCCTATCTAGATGGAAGTCCCGTGATCCGTTAGTTCCAGGCTGGATGTCGTAGACGACGGTTCCATTCTCGCCTCTATCAGGATCGTGGGAACGCAGAACGCATACCTTCGAACCATACGGCGAGTTAGTGTGAACCAGTGGATGATATCCAACCGTGGTGAAGGGCTGCGGAAATCGGGGTATAGGCTGATTATCGTTTTCGTCTAGCACAACCAGATGGATGGTTTTGTGAGCTCTTAGCGGAGGTTCACCCATGTCTGTGGCAACCAGCTGGATGGTGTAGGTTTCAACCTCTTCTCGATCTAGACGCTTTTTGGTCACTAGCACGGCCGAGACTTCACCTCTTCCGCTGACTTTACCTCGGCCGGGAACGACATTCGGGGACAAACCCTCGCTGAGCAGTAGATCAAAGCTCTCTTTCACCGACTGCGTGTTGTTTTCGGACAGTTCTAGGAGAATGCCAGAATTCACGCCGACATCTGCGTCAGTACATCTCACACTGCCGATGACGAAGCCACCTGGACGGTTTTCAGGCACACTGAAGGAATCCGTAACCTGGAATCTCGGTTCATTGTCATTGACATCCATTAGACGAATCTTCAGCTTCACCGAAGTTGATAAACCACCGCCATCTTCAGCGGCAACAAAGGCTTCAACCTCCTCATTAGCCTCGCGGTCTAGACAGTTGCCGTTTTTTACAGACACAACTCCCGTCTGTCTGTCTATGCTGAGTGCCTCCAGGGTGCTGCATCGACCTCCGTTGTCATTCACGAGAGAGTAGGTTACACGGGAGTTCAGTCCAGAATCGGCGTCGGTAGCGGTGAGCCGTGCGATTCTTGTGCCTTCTGGAGAGTGTTCCGGCAGTTTTGTGAGAAATTCCGACACGCCGAACTCAGGATAATGGTCATTAGCATCGCCAATGGCGACGGTGATGCGGATAGGACGGTCTGGAGACGTCAAAGGTTCACCCAAAGCCCTATCTGAGCACACAATCTCTACACTAGCTGATTTTGTCTCCTCGTAGTCAAAGATGCCTTCTGTGAAGACAAAGTAGGCGTTTGCAGTGACCTCCTGCAATCGAAGCGAGGCTGCGCCAGCTGCTATTCCAGCTTCCGTTGCACGACTCGGAGATGGTCGACAGGTCACCTGAAATCCAAACACGAGCGCGGTCAAGGTTGCTTCAACGTCATTGGCTGTCAATTGTAAAATGCCGTTCAAATAGCTCACTAGCTCACTTAAACCGACTGAAAAATGGCACAAACTAATGTTACCCTTTATTACTTTGAACTTTAAAGGTGATGTGTAATGATTGTTAGCATGATCATAATCATTTTTCGTTCTTGCGATCGATTGCCGCGCCAAAAATCCAAGGTCATCTGCCCTAGTTGGCGATCGATAATCAAGAGGTCCAGAAATCGTACATCTAGTGGCTGCAAGCATAGCAACAGGCAACATGAATTTGTCTTAAATATTTGTGGTATTTTGGTTTGCAACAAAAATTTTACAAATTCCACTCATTCTGGGTGGGGGATTATCGATTTCTCGGGATTACAAAGCTGATATTATTACTTTCCAGGATCTGGAAGTACAAGTTTGCAGTCTTGTGAGGGAATTCAATAATTGTGACCAAATGCGTTACCAAAAACTGATCTCGTCGATTAGTGTAGCTAGGGCGTAGTTGTCAGATTTGAACCAAAGATCTGATAAAAAAAATGAGTCTACAGCCGAGTGACCAAATCGTACTTTGCACCAAAATGTCCATTGTTTAAATAGGTGGACGAAAACTATTGATAAAGGTCTATTTTGAGCTGAGACAACGTCTGTCCATTGCCTAAACTTGTGATAATTAAATGCTGGATCAACCTTCCACAACACTAATTACTAGACGTAAGTTTCTATGAAAAGATCGCTATGCGTTTGCCGCATTTAGCAGCCTAAATGCAGTCACTTAAGCAAACACATGACTCAAACGCTGTCAGATTTCGAGTGAAAGAAACCCTACTTCATATGTCAATCAGGCGTCAAAACGAAACCAACCACAACATCACAAGCAGTCTGTAGCGAAACCTGTATGATGCCGTCTACTGGTAAAGCCGAGGTAACATTCTTGCTAACTCGCTATTCCGTACAAGCCCCTAACTCCCTCTTTCTTGCTAACTCACACAGGTAGGTCGCGTTTGCTCAGGAAGGTAATTAAGCCACCGGGAGAACTTGGGTGGCCCCAGCTGCTTGAGGACACGCTTCCCTTACCCTCCCTCCCTCCCCACCCCACATACTTTTGCTTCGAAATCTTTCAGGTTGGCCATAAAGGCTAGTTGAAGGAAAGCTAGTCGAGTAATTCCAGGGAACACTACTCTTCATTGATGTTTACTCCCTCTAATCCAATGAGTCTCACATCTAGCTCAGGCTACACGTTATCAATCAAAAGGGCAAGATTGTTTAAATGAAATAGACTCTATCGATTGGTCCCACAGGTCAGCCAATCACATGCCAGCGTTATTTCAACGGTTTTAGGAGATTCAAAGCACAAATGATGATACCTCGGGTTGAGTTCTATAAAAAAACGGTTTCATAGTACGCACCCGGCTGAGCTACCATTCTTCCAATCGTAGTTGCATCCTTCGAAAGCTTGCAAGTAATTTAGCATTCACGTGTGACTAGGGAGTAATCCCATGTGGATTTGATGCGCCGATGCTTTCACACCAAAGTCTAGACTCACCCCGCGTTGAGCGGTATCGTAGGTAACTTCAAAAACCATATGTTGATACCGGCAATCGGGCAGCGAATCTGACCTACCTCAACTCCGTCTTGTCACATTTTTAAACCACAAACGACGGCATTGTCTACTAAGCCAGTAAACATGGGTGAGCTGTAGTTTAAAATGGTGGAGTGTCGTTAAGTTCCTGGGGTGGTTCAGGAGGCCAGGAATCTTTGAACGTAAGTTGAGATTAAAACATTCAGGTGGCTTGCCTGGGGTTAGCGAAGTGCCTGAGAAAGCCTCGGTAAGCCATCAAAGGCTGTGGGAACGTCGCACCACCTTTGGACGATAAAATCAGCCAGTCTGAATTCACGCCTTTTTTGTGAAACCGTTTTCTAGGGCTACAACTAATCCGTCAGAGACTAGTGACTGTGGTTTAAAAACGATCAACGTCCCTGGTTCCATGATTTGATAACAACAGCTACTTTGGATCAATTTCTGATTGCAGTGGCTCTTATTTAGAATTTCTGAAAACAGTGATTATTTTAGCAACCAGAGAATTCGTTCATCTTTTTGTTTATCTAACTCCTTGGCGCTGAATTCAAATTCTAGCAAGTGATTAATCGATTTAATTACCAACCCATCATACCTTGCCTCTGGAAACGAAGTCATCGTCCTTAACATAGAACCGAACAACTGGTTTGGTGTAGTTGATGCCTTCAATGACCGTGATGTTCTCCTGAACCACCAGCGTTGGTAAGTTGTCGTTAATGTCGCGTGTGACGACGGTCAGAGTAGTAGTTCCACTGCGTTTGGGCGTGCCATTGTCTGATGCAACAGCAATCACCGTAAAATGCCTTTCACTGTAGACTTCGTAGTCAAGAGCCGAGATCAGGTAGAGTGCTCCGTTCGAATTGTCGATGGAGAACTTGTCGAATACCCGTGGTTCGTTCAACGGACTAAGCGAGTAGCTGATCAGACCGTTCTCGCCTGAGTCTAGATCAGTAGCGATGAACTTATGGATGGGATTTGGTGAAAAGGTGGTATTTTCAGCTAATTCGATAGTCGAAACATTGGTCTTCTCGAAGATGGGAGAGTTGTCATTGATGTCCATTAAATTGACGGTCACAGAAAGCGATCCTGTCAATGCGGGATTACCACCATCAATAGCAATGACAATCAGCTTGAACTGCCTATCTGTTGGAACCTCAAAATCCAGTTCGCGAAGCTGTATCAGCATTGGCGGTGACAGTCGCCATCCTTGAGACTTGTTCAACGGATCCGACAAGACCTTTTCGTAGCTCAAACGGAACAGTTCGTCTGTGGAATGATTAGGATTTTTGTCGCTGCTAAGGCGATACTGAACAATGCCATTCTCGGCACTGTCTAAGTCAACTGCCGATGGAAGCGTTTCTCGGGCAAATTTACCGCCTTCTTGAATACGAACCGTGAATTCTGGACGACCGTTGGAGTTGAGAGGAAACTGTGGAGAGTTGTCGTTCACGTCGACTAATCGGAGTTGAAGGTGAGCTGGCAGTTGGTCGTTAGAACTGACACTTGAGTCCTCGTTTTGGTCCACAATGAACATGACACGAGCGTCGATTGTGCAGACGGCAGACTGGCAGCAGTCTAGGGGTCCACAGACATCGTCTAGGTTGTCGCGATCAACCAGTTTCTGGACAATGACTGTGCCATTTTTGGTGATTGAGAAGTACTCATTGAAACGCTGGAAGTTGGACGACGTCACGACGACAAGCGAGAATACAGTGGAGGACTTTTGCCATAGAACCTGACGAATGTTTCCAATCGTGTGACCCGGTTTAACCTCGTCGATGATCTCGAATGACACAAGTGGCACTGGTTGGTCAGGCGAGGAACTCTTTGATGAGTTGATCCAGATTAAGATAACAAGCACAAGTACGCGGAAATTCTTTTGTTCAGAGGTACTATATACAAGGAATAAAGCAAGAACAATTAGCCCAAGTAGGTACACCACATAGAGGTCAACTCGGAGGCGTTTCACATTACCGAGGAGACAAACAAGACAAATGAATCCAGAAAAATCAATGTCGGTTTTTAGAACAACCATGTTTCAGTGAATTTCTCTAAAGTGACCAATAAAAAAGGCGATTGGTGTGATTAGCGAATGAGAGCATCGTGATTAGGTTAGATTAAACAACCCAGATGGTGGGCATTCTAAAAACTGTCTATTAAGAACATACATGAAGTAGTCTGGCGTCTCCAACGTCATTCGTGGCATCTGTGGTTCGCCAGACGGGTGCTGGGGTCTTATGTACGGTTTCCCAAATGGACGCAAACCGCTTGCCTCGGACACGCGAGCACTAGTGCGCGCATCGCGCCTTCTGATTGGTCGGTGGTCACAAACTCAAGTAGCAGAGCACTTCGGTGGCCATGACCCGTTAAAACAATTTAACATACGCGCGGTGGCCACAAATGCGACCTTGGGTTGAATATCCTGGTTCTTACATTAATTGGTTGAAACCAAGTCCCCAGATGTACTACTTAATTGAAATCAAACAAAGATATGTCTAATTGCGTGGAATGATTAACCAAAGCAACTTGTAGGTGGGACAAGAGGTATAAAAAGTCTGTCGTGGAGCGCCTTAGGTTGTTCAAGGGAACTAATTTCATTGGGACAAATTTGTTTAAATATGACAAAAAATTTTGTGCACATATGTGTTATATGTTTCAACGTCTGCTAGCAGATGTATCAATTTGGGCTCACATCCTGAGAAGATGTTGCGCTTGAGTTCACGTAAATCGGTACAACCGCTCGCAAAAGTGTTGTCTAAGAAGTTTGACGGTTTTTTGGTAAAATTTATTCACCCTCGCTGACAGTTAAGCTGTCGTGTCTGCAAAGTGTTTCATCAACAGCATCTGTGGATTTAGAAATATTTATTTCGCGAAAGACTACTGCCAGAATAATCTATTAAACAAAACTAGTAGGTGGAAGATTTTGAAAAGTCTTGGCTGCCGCCTTAAAATGAGTGACCACAACCACTGAGACACTCGACTGTTGTAAATCGAAATTCACGCCTTTTTTCAGTGTACAAAATTTTTGCTAATAGAATTCGTATGGAATTTGCCAGAAAATTCGGAAATTTACTGGCTTTCCAAAGTGATGTTTGCTATTAAGAACCTCCTCAAGGCACACAAAGCTTGAAACTCTGAGTACGATCGATTATTTATCGATTTCCCCCCATTATTTGTCCGCATCATCAGCGTTTTCGGTGCGGTATGATTTCATGGTTAAATTATGCACGGATCTCAGCCAATAAAAATTCTCTCTGTAGACTACTTCAAACTAAAAGAGATTCTTTTTAAAAAAGCTGACAATGTTGATGTTAACATTTTTATCGAAATTTTTAAAATGTAGTAAAAGTATCAGGGGGTATGTAAGAAAAAATGTCTCCAGTGTGACTAGACTCAATTTCCCGATAAAAAATGCCAATTTTAACTCGAAATTGCTTGAAGACACTGCTATAAATCACACCGTGCCTGATTATACGTAGGTAATTGGATTGGTGGCAAAGTGATACATCCGCGATGGTGTGAAATGATAAGTTGATGAAGACGGCAAGAGATATGTGGTTGGAAGATGCACTGGGCAAGCGATGGTGTTTTATTTGACAACACCAAAGTTCAGACATGTAGACCGAAATGTGAGAGCAGTCACAGGAAGCGTAAATTATGGGTTCAGTTCAGGTGACTGGTCAAATGGTGGAATAACGTCAAGAAGCCCGTGGCCAATGAGCATCAAGTTCGTAGTCAATCTGTTTAGAAAGCATCGATTTCCAATGGTTGTCTCAGAGTAACGAAATAATTGCGAAAAAAACTACTGTGGCTTTCTCAGGCGATTGTTTTTCCAGTTCTCTTACTCTCGGTGGACTCGCTTCCTAAGACCCTTTAAAAACGCCTCATTTATTTACCCGGTAACCATGGTATTCGGTCCCGTCTTAGCCATAAACTTTATTGTAAGTTAATGGTTGAGAGCTCATTGCTACACGGGGATTCGAATGCTCCATTTCAGTGGAATCCACAGATGCGATGTCAACAAAAATTAATTTTTTCTTGATAAACTTTGAATTGAGAAAAAAGCTACCGTCTGACACTTAAACAAGACGATAAGTAATGAAAAATGCAAGTCTTTTGGATAAAAATACCGCAGCCGTAACAGTTTAACTGAAAATTTGGTGCTAAATTATTCAGGTCCAATGACAGTGTGATTAGCCAATCAGATTGCGGCGGTCAATATGAGTGGAAAATATGGTGTGCATGCACACGAACGAATGGTGGCTGAAATAACCACTTTAAGCAGTTAAAGTCATATACGATGATGTGTTTTATTTACCACATGTTGTTGTACAGCTGTCTCAAGTCAATGACATTCCAACGTCGTCAAAGAGTTCTGCATTGCACCAGAAATCCAAATTTTGTCATTGTGCATCAAGTAATTTGACATTTAGGCTGAGTTTACAGCTCGAATCTCATGTTTGACTCCACTTCAATGCACACTCAGCGATTGCTCTAGCTGACAAATGATGTCAGTCGTGCTCTCCTAGTCGGGCGTTTCAGGGTCGATTTTGTGGGCGCTGAAAGGAGATGCCTATCTCCTCTCTGTCCCCCACCACACACACACACAGTGGTATTGTTTGTGCCCGTCACGCAATCGCATGCATTCAGCTTTCCACCGCACGCATTATCGAGAGCCCTCGATAGACCAACAGCGTGAATTGAGGCATCCAACCAGCTTACACTGTACCTCGTTCCAACAGCCAAGAAATTCACCTCAGAGGTTTGGCGTCGTCTGCCTTGTCTTCCGTTGGGGACATCGTTTAACAGAGTGTCGTTAAATTCAACAACATAAATTAGGACTTGTGAAGAATAACACGATTTTCTTAGAATTTCTGGCGTACAATTGGCTATCTGTGAGAGGAAATCACACAATTACTCTTCTAACTTCAACGCACACGCAAATCTAAGGTCGCTTGACTGTATCGGTAATCGATTTTCAAAAAATCGGTTAGCCTTATTTTCATTGGTCACACGCTGATTGGTTAAACTTGAAATGTGCGCACTTGAGATAAATCAGCACAAAAATGCTATTTTTTGATCTTGATCGAGCTTTTTTTTAAGAATTAGGCAAATTGAGACCTAGAGGGTAACTTCAGTAGCACATGCAGCCGGCCCTCTCGATTCTACCATACAGACCGTGTTTAGCCAAAATTAAATTCATTGTATTCAATTAAACCAGCCTTGTAAATGCCCAAGAGAAATAGATGAAGCAAAAGAGAGAGAGAGAGAAAGAGGGAGAGAGAGAGTCAATTTGGACATAAACGCGCAAATCAAAGTGAATTTCGGTGACAGCATAAAGGAAATCCCCTTATTTTCTTCTCCGTTGCAGCGGTTGTTTAGCAAGACACACACCGATTTTAAAAGCTCCGCCTAAACGCGAGATTTTAATTTTCTGTGTCATTGTTAGGCATTTGATGTGCTCGTAAATAATTTAAAATTTACCTGCTATTTGGATGAAATAGATGAACGAAATCTATCTTCCTTCATGTATGCAAATTAAGGGTTAAAGGTTGGGAGAATGTCGTGTTGGTGATTAAAGCCTAACTTTGTTTTATTGAAGTCGATTGCATTTCGGGTCATCGGGATTGGCTAGCGAGTTTGTGGCACAAAGTTCGAACTGGAATGTAGAAAATCAAACTGATTTTTCATGCTCCCAATCTTTGAGGCGTTGAAACCAGATTTGCGGAAACGAAAATACCCATGCAGAACTCGTCTAAATGCATCGGTATTTACTTAAAAAATTTGCCAGAAGAAATGTTACAGTATTTACCGGGTTGTATTCACCTGCCTGCATTTTTCTCGGCCCCAGATCTACTGATAACGATGACGACAAATCCACACGCTACTGAATGAGGCTAGCGTGATCAACCCAACTGTCTGCTGCCTCTCAATTCGCAGATTCTTAATGGCGCAAGGCGGAAATCGCGAGCTGACATTTTGTCTCAATTGTGTTTGGCGCAAAATTAGCAGAATCGTGAGCTTGCAAAAAGCATTCAATTTGTTGTGATATGTTGGCACACAGATTGGAACATCAAAGCGATGTGTTTTGTACAAGGCATGCTTCCCCCGTCTTTTTCAACCATCGCTAACACCAAGAACACGCTCTCCGTGAATTTGTACCTTTGACAATCACTTGGGTTGATAGGATCAAACTTGATAATACAAAAAGTTTCCCAACTCGATGGCCGAAGTATCCAGCATAGAACTTTCCCGCCTCGCAACCAAATTGTCCCAACCAATTACCGACTGGAATGTGTATTCCGCCAATCGGAAACCGCGAATCGGAATTCCACATTTCTGTGAGTCGATTTTAACACATTTTATTGCACCACCAGATTAAATTCTACTAAAACAGGCTCATCGAAACAGGGAACACGATTAATCCACGTTAACACGCAGATCATTGAGTTGGATAATTGTTGCATGGTCAGTTTGGTGCAATTAACCCAAGCAATCGTTGGAAATGGTGCTCTAAGAGCTACAGATTTTTTTAAATGATGATAAGGAAACATATTCGTTTTAAAACGCCAAATTCGCGGATGGCCCACATTAAAATGGCTAGAATTTTACACAATGCAAAGAATTATTCACAAGATTATTGGTTCTGTGTAAACGGACACTGCAAAATGTATACTCTGTTACCACTTCCACTATGAACGTGGCGAAAAGATATCAAAAATAAATTTTTTATTATAATACTTTTGTGTGTTTACAAATTTCCAGTACCTAATAATCGATCGTTTAAAATCCGCAATAACACAATTTGGCTTGTAGTGAATTTGACCAAATATGTTGATTGGTCACGTGCATTGTTTAAATTGAGAGCAATTCTTGAACCGGCAGTACAAACACAAGACTTAAATTTCGAAAATGAATTTACATAGCTTAAGCTTTGGCGATTAGTTCTGGGTTCAGTATGTACGTCAAGCGTTAATTTGGTTTTCAACCTGCCCTCAATTCGAGACTTTAATTAAAACATTAAATTAAACCGATTTTATGGTTACAAAGGTTCTCACGAGAAAAGAAACAAACATTTAATGGATTTTGTGTTCGAATGTCATTAGCAAACTGCGTGATTTTCACACCTCAAACTCTTCACCTAGCTACCTCAGTGCTTCTTCACAAGCCGGATCAAACGAGTGCTGCTAAAACACGCTCAAAACTGTCCCAAATTTTGGCACTTATTTAAAAGAAGCGATCAGGACACACAATGAAGAAAGTAGACCTTATTATTAAAGAAATCATTTTAAATGCCTAAATGTAATTTGTAAAATGTTGTACCAACCAATGCTCAATTTTTTACTTCTGGTTAGTTAAAATTATGGAACTTCGGAATTTAATACGATTAATCTGTGCAGAATCATTACGGTACAATTTGTCGTGGAAAATCTTAGGCCTTTAGTTCGAGTTAGAAATCGATTGGCTAGCGGTCCATGAACTTTGTTCTCATTGGCCAAGGACTACCTATTTGACCTTGGCTTTGGTAGCAATGGGTAAATCACACAAGACGAGGTGAAAAATCCGTTAATTCACTCGCAAAAGGATTGTGCGTCTGGTGATTGGCTGCGTGTGCGGACCAATAAAAAGTGAGGCCGAGTCAATTGGAACCAATCGGCTTGGGGTGCATTTGTTCGGTCAAATTACCATTCAAGTAGTCAAATAGTGCTTAAATAAGGTTAAATTTTGGTAGATGAAGGAATGGTGCATTGAAATGATACTTAATCAAATGCATACACACTAATTTAAACTGTATTTGATTTTCTTTAAATGCATTTTTATGCATTTTGAAAGAATGGCTTTTAAAATCGCATTTATGATCGCGCACAAATTTAGAAGACATTACATCGCAGGGCTCACCTGATCAACCTGTGATTTACCCAGCCATAAATCATAAACTTTTAAAGTACTCGCAAAACTCATCGCTAAAATGCGCGTAAACTCAGAAAAATCCACGAGAATTTCTATAGCTTGATATAACGCGAAAATATTTTGCTATTTTACTTAACTTCTGCAAGACTGCGAAACCACGATTTAACTTGGCAAGAAATTTATTGATGTCAACGTGTTTAAACGCTTTGTCCTTGAATCCTCGGAACTTGGATCAATTAGCAACTAAGACGGCCACTCTAGTAATATAGTCTTAAATTTTTAAACCAATAACTTTGATAGTAACAATAATAGAAACACTTAAGCAGTTCTTAGATGTTTTGCATGCTAATCATCACATTTACAACGATTCCAAACCTTCATTCAGCGACTTACTTATAAGCTCACAGTCACAAATTTTTCAAGTTGATTACATGTCCTTTAGATATTGGCCCCTAACATGGGTGCTTTTTGAGATCAAATCAACAGCCTGCATCTAATTAGATCACTAGCTTCTGAGGGACCATTCATCTTAACTAGGATCACGGTCGAGGTAAAGGTCGATTAGTTAGGATTAAATAGTAAACTTTTTTCATAGTAGTTTTGCATCTGAAGTGGATAGTCTATATGAGTTTTGACCCTAATGCCGACTTCAACTTAGTTGGCACACACTAAATATAAGATCCGATGAAAAAATAAACCATTTGATTTTTATTTCATCTTCGATTTTGCTGAGCCCCACGTAGAATATACTGCCTGTCGGCTTAACTTTCAATCTATTTTTTTAAACGTGAATTTTATCAGCATTCTTAGTTTGTATTTTAAAATTGTATTGCTATTATCTACTGTACTTTAGAGTTTACATAAAGATACTATTAGCCACGTGATAAATGTTAGGTGTTCTACACCCGGTTAGGCTACAGACATGCAATAATTTTGACTTTACTAAAACACGAACAAATAAGGCATTCTGGCAAGTTTGGCACATCGCATTCGGTTCTATGGCAAAGAATTATACCGGAGTAGAAATATTAATTATCGAATACGGATATAAATAAAATAACGACTAAATTAGATTATTTAACATTTCCCATCGACTGTCAAACCAAAGATGTTATTCGAAGAAGTTGCAATGACTATCAGAACAATAATCCATTTTATTTTATCTAATGCATGTTAAATCATATTAGTTTATATAAGTCGTTGAGATCAATTATGTTTTAGGAATCGAATCTTTTGCATACTATAATGCATTGTTTTGAGATTACGTCTATTTTGCAGGCATATTTATACATTTTATACATAAACAGGCACATTACACCGTTCTTTCCTGAAAAATTGTTAAAATGTGTGCATTTTGATCATTGTACTTGAACTCAAGAAATGATTTTAACACTACTGGCTTTTTATCAATAAAACATACTTTAGTGTCTTCCAATAATTTAAAAGAATTAAGTATGTGTGAAAGCACACAAGGGAACTAAATCTCTACATTAGTAATGTATAGAGGGCTGATTGACCAAAATGTAACGCGGCATTTAAAGCACTAGAACGTGACTTCAATTGATTAGGCTTTCTACAGAGCTTTTATATATGCTATACACAAGCATCAGTGTTTTGCCGAATATAATCTTTCGGATATAATCACATTAAGTACATTCGACAAATTCATCAATGTAAATTTTTTTGTCGATCTCTAACTTAATTCCTAACTATGTCAGAATATCGTTTAATAGAGATTTAGATATAAAAATATCATCAAACGTCCTTGAAAGGTCAGCGGTCTTCTAATTTTTGATCTAAATTTGTAATATTGTACTGAATTAATAGATGGAATATTATTATGCTATAGTGTTTTGGAGGTTTAGTAATAATTTTAAGACATTCGCAGAAGCAAACATCATAATATACTTTGGAATAACTGAGTTACATTTTACAGTTATAGTTTTTTTCTAAGATACACGCCAAAAACTTCTTATTCGCATTAAAATAGGCGCCTCATTTAACTTCCCAAGATGTTTAGAGGTCGGGGTCCGTTGCGCTCTCTTGTTGCTATTAGTAGACGCACTTTGTACTCAAATGTGAATCCTAACTCAAAACTACTAATCAGAAGCAAGTCTCCTTTGGAGATATCTTGTCTGCCATCTCATGAAGCGGATCGCAGCGCTGTCATTCTTCCTGAATGTAACAAATTTTGCGTCGAATCTGGTTGGAAGATCTTACAAACTGATGATGTGCAGTCAGAGAAAAACGAAGTATACAAGATTCAAGTCCCCGCTCAGCGAGGTTGGATCGTTTCTTATCTGTCATTTTTCTAGAGATCGAAATTACTCAGACTGGCTGCTTTCCCCTCTCACTTGTAAAATACGAGAGTCCTAGGATTTCCATCGAGTCTTGCGGCCCAGTCAATTATTTTAAGTTAAAAGCAAGTGTGAGTGGCACTCATAATGTCCTAGGTACCCGATCTCTCCATCAATTCTGCAGGTGATGTAATCGGTTCAGGTTATCTTGAAGGCAACATTAATCTAACGACGAAGGGAGTATGTTTTATCCCATTTTCGTTGTATTCTTTTCAATTAATTGCTCTTTAGCAAAACCCTTGTTTCCCTTTAGTCCTTTAAAGCCGACAACGTCACGGGTCAATCTATTGATCTTCGTTTTGGCGGCACTACGCTTGCTGTTCACTCCGCCTATTGCGAAACAATGAACCTGAACTGGATTGTTCCTGAAGAGCCACCTGACGGAGTTACGCCCGTTGAATTGCCCCCAATCAGTGTTTATTTCGGGACTTTGCGCGGCAACGCCACCATAGAACTTGCTGGGGATGCCAACTTCAATATTGGTACGTTTGGTGACGATAATTTCCTAACTTACATAAACCTGCCGTTTGTACTGACCCCTAAAATTCGACAAGCCTTACCAGACATATTGACAGTTAGCTTCTGCGCACCACAAACTACGAGGCGCGGATTAAGTTTCCCGCATCTTACTCCCTATTTACCTTTTTTTCAGGCAGTTTCGAGGGAACCATGTACATGCGACAACGTTTTGGTAATGTGGCCGTCCACATTGGCGGCCCCTGTCCGCTTCTTGAGATTTACGTTGCCGAAGGCAACATAGAGCTCAGTTTGCCCACGACGTCAGTGGGTGAAAAAATATGTGGCGCCGTCGAGATTCAGGCCTCTGAGATAGAAATCGACAGAGATGCCCTTCCGCCAAATTGTCTCGATAACTGGGATCTTGGGGAAGCTGCCGAGGCACAGACGTTCTCCGGTAAGTCTGTCACCTCCCCTAAAAGTGCATGCCAACTTTGGGTTAGTTGACTTCATTGAAATACATTTCAGCAAACTTCAACGATCCCGACGCCGACTCAGAAACCATCTGGAGGGTTCGGACACTGAGAGGCCGCGTTCGTCTGACCGGTGCATCGTGGACTGACGCCATGTTGCGCTGTCACAAACGAATATCGACAACGCTGTAATTGTTGCTTCCCCAAACGCCAGCAACATCAACCCCCTGCTTTGTACAAAACGCTAACTTGAAAGTAAATTATACAATTTTACAATCTGCTGCTAGCCGAACGTGCGTCGACTATCAGCAGCGAGAACACTCATTATCACTGGTTGCAAAGTTTTGGGGGGAGGGTGATTCCCAAGCCAAAAGATATGGGATCGCGAAGAGACGAAAGACAGCGAGTGGAATTAAGCAAATAATTTTGTTTCGGCAATTATCTCCGCACGGCTTTTGTTCTTGGTACTGGCGCGTTGCTGGCGCTTAATCCTGAGACGGAATTCGTTTTGCATGCGCTTTTTCTCCTCCCGTTTTCTGCGCTCCCTAACCTCATCTCGACTGATTATTGTCTGTGATGCTGTCTTATTGTTTAACTACAAGAAAGCAGAACAAAAAATGCGAGTTATTATAAAGCAAACCCTGTTCCAGACAACCGCAAAACGAGGACAATGGTTAGTCTTCACACGCTGTTTGCCTATGAACATCTACCGAGCTTCATGGGAACGACACTGCCTACCTCGCATCTTCTGGCCGTTGAAAATGGCGCGTAAAAACTGCAGAACCACGTGATCGCGATCCATCTGGATTCACTCTCAAGTCTGTTAAATGTAATAGCTACTACAATTCCCGGATTTAAACGAAACAGCTCATGACAGAGGTACACATCTTCCACTTGAATCTAACCGACACCGATGCAGATGCTTTGATTAGTAATGTGTGAATTACGGCTGCTTTGAGAACTGAAGGAAGTAGATGATGAAAGACACACGCATGTGTGGATGCAGATGGAAAACATCGCCATTCACAACGAAGCGCGCGATTCCAACCTCTACCAGCCAAAGCGTAGTTTCCATGGCATACGAATTACTGCGCAACTAACCCCAAGATTGCACCTGGCCATGGATGGTGTGGTAAAGCCTTCGCTTGAAGCGCTCTCCTCCTCCTCATGCGACAACGCTGACTCGTATTCCGCTGAACTGCCCTGAACCTCCGCGTCGACGTCTTGCGCCTCTTCGTCTTCTTCGTCCTCTCCACTGTCTGTGATCTCTTCCTCCTCGCTTGAAGTCTCGCTCCGGTCGTCATTCAGCGCGAGGGCGGCGACTGTGCCGACAAGAAGGTCTGAGTCTTCTACAACTCGTCGACCGGCACTCCTTTTTGATGGTTTCTCACGGATGTAACCGGGAGCTTTTAAGTCCACGTCCATGCTGCCGGTTCGACTAGGAATAGAAGTTTTAAACGTCAAAACACTTCTTCCAGAGGGACGAGTCGCTAAAACTATTTGCGAAGTTTCAAACAAGACCGCGCGGAACCGCTGGCGTTGAACATGACAAATTAACAAAAAAACCAGAGTATTGTTAACATAAAGGGACTTACGGAATATCAAGTAGAGACTTGGGAGGGATATTGGTTGGGTCTAATTCGAGAAATTTGTCAAAGAAACCGACGATCCCATTTAGATCGCGTTCATAGATTCTGTTTACAAAAAAAGGAAACAGATAAATAGACAAGGAGGAAAATTGCATCATTTTTTTCCTATCTAAGCAAACAACGAGTACTCACTCCTGTGCATTTCGATGGTCGCGACTAATCATCTGAGGAAAGTCAATTAGGATGAGTTGGACCTTGTCGAGATCGACGTCGTTGGTGGTGTCGCCATCGTCTGGGGCGGCAGTGGAATCTTTTGAGGCGCCGCCAGCCAAACCCCCAATAAGCAGATTGAATTCGTTGAAGTCACCATGAATGAGACCGTTAGAGGTAATCTTTTCAAGAATTTCCACTGCCTGGGCGTAGAGGATATTGGCTAGGGCGCCGTTATTGGCCCGCAAGGTCGTCGGAAGAACTTTACAGAGGGGAACAGCATCTGAAACCAGACTCATTACAACGGCGTTACGATTGTTCGCGAGGGGACATGGGACGGGCAAGCCGTAGTCATACAGAATCTAAAAAAATTCAACAGCACGCGATAGCGTCAGGACCGCTAGTTCTGGAAACATCTGATGTGAGGTGGTGAATAGAGAGGGTATCAGGGGGTCCTGGCGTAGTCGTTTACATCTCAAATCAATAAATACGACGCAGAGCTGCTCGAGACGAATATCGAAATCACATAGAAGTACGTAGAACCAACAAGCGTGACGCAACATGTGGATTTTCTGACTCGGAAAGTCATTCCCATACATTTTGTTCTTGCAGTTTGACCAATACTAAGCAAACTAAACAATGGATTTAAATTAGAACAGAACTCAACGATTTGTCCGTAGTATTTTCAACGAACGTCATATATATTGCTGACACAAAAGACACCATGCCTACAGCTTTACAGACATCTGAGGTTCATAATTTTAAACGAAATAATTAACTCTCTTGAGGAGGTGATTACCTGCATCATCTCAAATTCTCGTTTGGCAGCCAGCCGGTCAAGGTAGAGCCATGAGCAAGTATTCCTTCCCTGATGATACTCACGTTTCTCTCGCACCTTTCTAAACGACGTTCGACCTAGCCGGTGGAATTTGATAACAATATAGTCGCCTTTTGATGGCAAATCTGCGCGATTCTTCTCCTCGCCATCCAATTCTTCACACTGTCTGCCACACGAGTCGCCGGCAACAGCGAGGTACACATCTGACTCCTTTCCTACGCCAATCATCGACCCCAGGTCAATCACCTGACCAGATTTAATCAAGGCGTGAAGAGCTAAGTAGTCGTAGCCGAGATTCGTGAGACGATAGCCCGAATAGCCTAAATAACCGACAAAACAAGAGTCAACTCAGGGCTTCGATTTTGCATTAACCATCAAAAAGATGACGGCTTAACAAATAAGATCATGGTCATCACAGTTGGTTTGACTTGCCTTTTCGGTTGTCTGTTTCATAAGCCAAGAGACCATGGGGCACAAGGTCATCACGTAAAAGTTTTGCGAACGATGAGCCACGACGTGCGCAGCGGGAAATCTTGTGGACTAAGTCAGAAGGCACAAACTCATGATTTTTCATGCCCATTTCAACTGCCATAAGAATTCGCCAAGATTCGCTGGTCATATAACGAAATTGATCAATCTTAATTGACTTGGGCATGTTAGTGCCTAGAAAAAAGACAGTGAATTCGTAAGCATGACAAATGCTATGCTAGAAGTGTTTATAAATCATTAATATTCGCATTCGGTAAACCGAGAGACTAAATACTTTAACTACAGTAAAAATCAAAACTAAAAGTTGAAAAAAAGCGGTTCCTCTGACGCATATTTGAAAAAAAAAAAATAGAGCATAGGGGACATTAAGATCAGTAAGTGCTAAACTATGCTATTAAAATCAGCGCTCAAAAGCTTACAGAAGCAAATGGGAAATCAGTGACAGAAAAAGAGGTAAAAACACGTGCAAGTGGACCAACACCACACTTTCAAGTCTAATTGGACAACGCAAAATTTTAAACAGAGGACATTAATTAAGAAGACGACTTTAATTGTTATCGGTGTGTTGGGTGCCAAATAGGCAGAGTCGTTAGGTCGACAATTTTTTAACTTCGTACTTTTACCCTTCTACGTCTTAAAGTAACCCACAGAAAGTTTAGGTTCCCTTTCTCAACGTGATGCATTCGAAAATCAAATGTCACTGTGACATTACATATTTCAACACATTTTGCAGCCATTTTTAATACTACACTAAGTTAATCTATTTTATAATGCATTTAAATATGCGACTTTTCGAAATAATTAGATGCCTGTGATAAATAACAATTTCAAATGACCATCATGCTATTTTAATCACGATGGCTGAGTTAGTAATTAAGACATGATCACAACCTCAATACCAACATATTCACTGAAGAGCTGTTTTACAATTATCGCAGAATTGTCTATTCCATTATGTCAGTTAAAGTTTAACGTTGGCAAGTCTGAAGAGTTATTTCTGCCTAGCTAAGTATAATCAGCGTCATTTCGAGAGTGCCATCCATTTTACCAGATTATATCGGAAATAACATATATTTAGATTAATTCGTAGTGGATCAAAAAACTAGATTCGACAACATAGTGCATAACATAAAAGCAAAGACGATAGTTTCATTGAACTCACTAAAGCTGCTGTCAGAAAATTCAGGCGCTATGATATTTCGCTAAATGTGCTACTAAGAAAACGGTAAAACTAATGCTTTGTCATGAATTTGACTATTAGAAGTCTAGTTATAAAGACAAAATTGCATCCAAATTCTTATGCTAGTACTTTAGTGAAAATTATTGAAGCAGGCAGGTATTTCAACATATTTTGTGTGAATGTTCGCACTAAGTAGTAGCTTTGCTAACACCATCATGTAACCCTATTGGGTAACCACCTGTAATAACCCGATAAGATAGAAAAGGGAGACAGTGATGGGCACGACCGTTTAATACCAACCAGACGTCTTCAAGTGCAGATAATTGTGGGTGCACGTCAGTTGACTGGCTAGAACAGGCAAAAATTATGGATGAGTAACTAAAACCAGCAATCTCGCTGGCAAGATTAACTTATTTGTGAACACTGAGAGTCAGCTACGAACTCAATAAGGTTACTGAAACGTTTAGAAATTGGCATCATTTGCTCGAAATTTGGACGTAAAATTTGGTATGGGTACCATTCACCGATAAACTGATACTAAGTAATTAGTGTTATACAGTTTACATCAAGGTTAAAATGAAAAAAAAAAAAACGCAAGATCTTAAACCAGACCACATACGGATTGTACAAACTTTAAATTTTCAGCGTTTCTTTGATGCTTTCTAATTTTTTTTCGTGTTTTCTTAACTAGTTTCATGTTGTGCATTGAAAAATTCATAATCATCACTTGGAAACCGCAGTAATACTAATTTGATAAGTTTGAACATCTTATATCTAAATTTAAGTCTACTGGGTGTTTTAGGGTCATAATCATAAATAAGTGTTAGTACAGATTTTGGCTCCCATATTTCACTGTGCCTACTGAATGGAAATTTAAAAGGATATTCACCGTCAGATTGTCCCTTAAAGTTTACAACACAATCAGGTTTGATTACCAGACACGTGACATAAGACGGAAAATATTCCAAAGAGAGAGAAGTGGTGTTAAAACAGGAGAGTCATAGTTAACGCACAGGCTTCAGAAAGGTAGGATGGGTCGAGGATACGGATAGGCAAATGACTGGCCTGGAGGCCACGCAATTACCAAATTAAGGGGGTCAGAGTTAGTAGCTGTAACTGGTCTTAACTTTCTTTATTTTTATTCTGATTGAAATTTTTATGCGAGGTAACACGTATTGTAAATATAAGGCTTAGTTTATGTACGTTCCTTAGAATCATCATAAATTTCATCCACAAGATAAACAAAACTCTAAAATCTAGACCGCATATTATTTGCTTTATAAAATATCCAATTAACAATTGATTTATATAATTTGGATACTTTTCTTCTTGACATCTAGGTAGTAAAAACTCCAACAAAGAAAATTAAGTTTATCAAACTAACCTTTATATATCTTTGTTTACGTTATTTCGTACGTATTTGAAATGTTATTTCAGTGCGCGGGATCAGTATTAATGCTTGTGAATTATGCGTAAGGAGTGTAAAAATCCCATAGACACCAATGATAAAGGTCACCAAGATAAGGGCTGGGCTTGGGTTGTAGTTTTTGGGGCTTTTTTGATCCATTTTCTGACAGCTGGTTGCGAGAAGTCCTTTTCACTTTGGTATATCGAAGTTCTTGAAGTTTTTTCTACTAACTCAGCCACGGCTGCGAGCTTAGGCGGAATATGTGCCGCTGTAAGGCTCATTTTGGGTAGATATTTTGTTTTGATTTTATTAACATTTGTAGCTCCTGTCTCCGTAATGTTGTGTGACAAGTTCACAATTCAAATTGTAGTAATTCTTGGTGGCGTAATTTCGTCCATTGGATTACTTATATCATCTATGACAAGCTCCCCAACTGTACTGTTCATCGGATTTGGACTCATCTATGGTAGTTTTTGTAATTACTTTATTTTGTTCGTTAGGCTTTGGTCTCACCCTTGTATTTACTCCAGCACTGGTTGTTTGCACCGTTTATTTTGAAAAGCGTCGAGCTACTGCTCTGAGTCTGTCTCTTACGGGTGCTGGATTTGGTGCATTTGTCGTCCCTCAAGTGGTTGCCCAGCTTTTGTATCGATACGGTTACCGTGGGGCAATGCTAATTATGTCCGCTTTCGTGCTTCATTATTGCATTTCCGGTGCTGTCTTCTTTACACCAATAAGTGATCGCCGGCGAAAACAAAACTCACAAAAAGAGGACCTATCATCCACTGTTACAACATCTTGTTTCAATAAACTAAAATCAAAGCTCCTTTTCATTGAACTATTCCGTGATCCATGGTTTGCGTTATTCATTTTGTCTTTCGTTTTCAACATGATGGGATCGGGACCGGTAACAACACTTATTATCCATTACTCGGAAGAGTACGGGGTACGTCCTTTCTACATACCTCGTTCACATATTATGTTTAGTGTTCTATTACGCGACAGTATGGTTGCTTCCGATTTGCCTTACCAAGGACATTTGGCTGTATCTCACCTTCTTTTTTTAGATAGAACTTAGTACTTCGCTGTTTCTTTTTGCCATCGAAGGCGGCGTGCAGGTTCTTGCTCGAAGCTTGTCTGGTCTCCTCTTTGACTTGAAAACCGTCAAGAAAGTCCGTGGAATTGTTTGGTGCGCGGATATTATCGCCTCAGGCACAATCGTGTGTTTTTTCGCCCTAGCCAAAACCTTTGCTGGTTTGGCTATACTTATGAGCTTTCGGGGTCTCTTTCTTGCCATCTACATTTCGCACCAAACTCTCATGACTTGTGACATGTGCAATAAACCCAAGGATTCTGGTCTTCTTCCCCATGCTATCGGCATGACTCAATTATCAAAGGGATTTGGGATATTACTGGGCGCAATGTTTTCTGGTGAGCTTATTTAGTCGAATTTTTATAACCCCGAATCATTTCAATTCAAATATTTCTGCAAATTCTAATCCGTTTTTATATATTTTTATACTTTTAACCCCAAAACGCGTACCAGCTGCTTGTTCGGTCAAACCCACAACGCTAAATTTTTGAAGTAATTTCTTTTGTTTACATCAATTTGGGTTTCTGTGAATCGATCTGTTTAAATTAACCGGTATCTTAATGAGACAAAAATTAGCATAAATGCAAATTACTGAGTCGGCTGATGCCAATTTGGCTAGGTGGATAAGCAACACAGATTCGTCTACATCCAAAATGCCGCCAGATGTGTTTTAAAGCACCAGCATCTGTGTATCAGTTTAGCGACCCTCTCTGTTCTCATATTGGGTCCGTTTGTACATATTCCCTATGCGGGTCAGCGATTTACAAGTATGCACATAGACTTAACACCTCGGGTGCGTACTGGTGACCCCTACACGCTATCACCTGGTGTAATCTAATTGCAAGAATTCTACTTGTACACAACATGGCTCTGGCACAGTGTCCATGATCTGGGTTGTGCCTGTCATACCCTCACCTCTGTTCAAGATGCTGGAAGATTTTGGAAGGTGAAAGAACAAATGGAATTATAGCAAACTATCGTCTTTTGGGGCAATTTGATTGGTTCTTTCGATATCCACATTGTACAAGTCGTTTGCTTATTTTGAGGTGTCCACTTTCCTCCACAACCAGAGTAGATTACTCGACACGTTCGTTTGTCTTGTTTGTTTTAATGGGGAGAATTATCAACATCATCACGTCTTTTATATAGAAATAATAGTGAAGCTGATTCAGCTGGTTACTACTCTTTAAGATCTGAACATGTTCATGGAACGAGCGTGTGAACGTGAGTCTCCGTTGAGGGACACAGAGCGCTAATTAAATTAGCTTTGTGTGAAATCTCGGACCTTTTGTTAACCCACTAAAAATCAGAGTCTGCTGTAAATACTAGAGGGAGGCTAAAGCTCCTGCGAAAGGTGTGGAAATTTTGTTTTTACTTGTTTCGTCCAATAAAAGCGATGCGCTCGTCTTTCGGCGACAGATACCATTGGTGTTCCTTGGTGCTTACGTGACCCGGTCTTCGCTTTTTTGAAGCACGCGACCACATGCATGCAGCCAGTCAAACCAAACTTTTCATGTGATGTTTGCTTTGGGCTTCCAAAAAGATGGCCCGTTTACAAAATGAGCAGCACCGTTTTCCAGCGAAAACGCGGGACAAATGGACGACTCCCCAGTCTCATTTTTCTTAGAGGGTGGGGGACCTCGACTTGGTTGTGCCTCTGTAAACAGGGCTTTTACAGCCGTACCGGCAGATTTATTGCTGTGTGTGTGTGTGTTGAGGCTTGTTTGTTTAAAGGACTTTCGTTGGTGTTGTGATTCTTTACATTTGGCACCCTATAGGTGTCGGATCTTGCTTGAAATTGTCAGATTGGGGCAAATTTAAATTTCGCGCCATGCAAACATTCATTTCGCCAAAAGTGCTGAATGTCCGGTTGACTTGAAGCGCCTACTTCATCAAAAGTGACCAGAGGTAAAGCAGGCTCTAGCTAACCCAAGCTAAGAATGCGGGTGATTCGGGGTATATTCCCATGGTTCTCCCTCTTTTTATCAGTTAAAAATAGCGCTTTTGTGAGGTTTGCTGTGTGGCCGGCTTCATAGTCCAACTTTCCCATTGGATCAACAAGTGTTTTGATTGGTTAGCCGGCCAACCTTGGGGTATTGCATGCACTCTCACGTGACAAACAACGCCTTGGCCTTATAAACAGACGAATGGTTTGTTGTGGACGTTGCAGCAACCCACACCGTTCTCGGTTTGCCATTTTGCGGACGAATTGTTTGCCTCAAAGCGTGTTAAACTGGTGTTTATGATGGAAAAACCCCAGTGAATGTCAAAACACAAAATCCTCGGTCATCAATTTGAGGGGTGATGTAAACACATCGACTGAAACGCCCGCTTGGTTTTGCTGGGTTGGACAAAATCCAACCATTAAGGTAATGATCACGCGAAACTTGAACTATGTGCGTGAATAAAATGTTTATTGTATGAGGTCAAACAAAACTTGCCCATTTCAAGGTCAAAACTTGTGGACGAGCTGCCCTTGAGTGTGTTTTCAGGGTAGGATACCCAAGGAACTGTTAATATTAGCTTTGGCGTTTTGGATTGGGTGTTCTGGTTAACCAATGGATTTCCCTCAACACTCTGTGTCCATTTATAAATTTGAGTGGGTATTTTTGTATTTTTCAGGAATGATTAGGGATACCACACACGACTACCGCTTCGCCTTCATGTTCCTTGGCTTCGCTCAAATGCTCGGCGCCGTGATAGCGCTTCAGGCGATCCTCTACAGAAAGCACAACTGCTTCCGACACCATTGTGATGAGGCAGACAGTGAGGTCAGAAGGAGTCGTGAAGCCCTCCTGTCGAAGTCGAGACATCTTCCCGCCTCGTATGTAGGAATTTTAAATGACAAGGACGTGGAGGAGATTGAGGTGGAGAATGAGGCGTTGGAGGAGGAGGACCTACTGCCACAGGCTCAATTGAGGTTAGTTCAGGGGGCATCTTTGTTTTTGTTCTTTGCGTTTGCAAGGAGTTTTCCGAGCTGGGTGCGTGACGCTATAGATAAGGTGGAAGTTTCCACACATGTGCCAACTCTTCCACTCCGAGTATGTCGTCCTGTAGACTGTCTTCTTCTCCGACTTCCACACTATGTCGGTGACTCCGTAATTTGGTCTACTCCTTTACTTCACCGATTTCGCCAGACGAACGTGTGCAGGCAGACACATTGCCTAGGTACAAGGCTTATATCCTGTTCTTTCTCGAACACATCAAGACCTGTCTACTGGCAGGCTGATTCAACGTTAGTCATTCAAAGAATAGCGAAAACGCATTGCAAAATCATGTCATTTTTTGCACAATGCAGTTTAAAACACACAAATCACAACGAAGACGAGAACTTACACACTGCTTAATTTGCAAAGCATCGCTGCGCCTCGGAAATGTTGAGTAATGCTAACGCAAGACCTCATTACAATTGGATGAAAGGTGATGACGATTTTGGGAAAAAAATGGAAAGTACCCCAGTCTGCACGACATTTTGCGCGCATTTCACAAGACGCGGTCAAAACTGTCGATTGTCGAGGCGTTTCACCCGTGAAGCGTGTAAAAGTGCAAACCCTCTTATTTGTGTGGTGCCTCCATTGTGGATTTTGGTGAAGGAGCCTGCAATGGAATATCAGCTTTGGTATTTTTTTCGTTAATTAGCGGTCACTTAGTGCACTCATTTAAATACTAAAACCTTCACTGGTAATTTTAAACAGTCCTGCACTCTCTTTGTGCGTCAATACACGTCAACTCTCAATTCGAGCTCCTTCTACCCCATCGTCCAATCGTATTGCAGGAACCTGACCCCTATTTTGATTGGTCATTTCACCTAGCCACGTCAATATCCTCTAATATTCTCGGTACCATCGTGGCTGTAGCGTTGGCTGTACTCTTAAAAACATCACACAGTTACACACCCGACTATGCTGAAACCCATATTCGTGCTCCCTTGATATAATTTTACTACCGCCACTTGCCTCGAATGCCCCCTTTTCGTGGTAACTTTTCCAATGAGGTGTCAAGAAAGAAATTGTAGTTTTGTTAATTTCTGAACACAACCGTTTACTTCAGAACTCAACCACGGTGGTGTCGTTGTGTCGTATTTAGCGTTTGCGCGTGTGTATTTATACCTCAAATGCGTTAACATCGAGACCTAGGTGTAAGTACAATCTGGAATAATCGTTCGCGCTAATGAGGGGTGGAGATGGGGATCCGCGCGGCTGGTGACATGCCGCGAAAAGGGGGACCCTGTGTGGGAGGCTGGAGTAACCGGAATAACCAGTGTGAATCACCGCAGTTCACAGCATATTCCTTGCTATTTTAGAAGCCTTGAATGAGCCAAATCGAGGTGAAATCACCTTGGGAGTGATTGTTGAAAGTTGGTTAAATGTATTCCACACAAATTATGCAAAAACCATTTACAAATATCTCAGATTTGCGAAGAATTTCTCTTGTCAGATTTAGACTGAATCAGAAGGAATTCACCTAACATAACCAATCAACCAAAATAGCACTGAGCGAAACCGATCGTGATCGAGGATTCCTCAATAATTACCCCAAAACGATGTCGTGCAAACCAAATCGTACGGGGTTGTGAGTTTGTTACATTTGTCCGTAACAAAAGAGAAGACCACTCAAATAACGGTACCAGATCCCTTGCTGAAGGCAAGAACCGACTTTCCCAGGCTAATACAAGAACAAGACCAGAGCCCGAGTAGAGAGCTTTATTCACGTGAGCCACGTGCAGAGAAGAAGTGAAATCGAAAGTAATTTGAAAACTAAATCAAGTCAAGTTTGACCTTGACTTGATAAAAGCCTAACAAAACAAATTTTAATAAATTAATGTAAATAAAATCAGAAACCAATCTTGGGGAATCGTGGATCCCCAACAGAGTTGTAGACACACCCGCAGGGAGACGCTACCAACCAATGCTTCAAGTAAACTAGTAAAATTCGGGAACAAGTGCCGCAAACTTGCACACTAGGGACGCGGAGAAGGCGGTGGTGTTGGCTGGGACAGAACAGACATCCGGGTTAGTGGAAACGCGGGGCTACCAACGTGCCTGGCCGTACGTTAACAGCGCCTGTTCAACGTCTAGACACAATGTCGAAAGTTCACCCACACAAAGAGCCCGGTTTCTATCAAACACCAAAGTCGGAGGCTTAATCAGTGATCTCGGCTACATCAAAGGGCACTTGACAACTTCGTTTAGCCACTTCAAGAGGCCTCTGGTGCAATCCACAGATTGCACCATCTGGCGTGCACTGTCAGCGTCGCCGGGTCTTGTGCCAACTCAGCCTGACACACGTACACAAAAGTGCGGGTTGTAACAAGTACCCCTATTCACACAATCCCCTCCTTCACCCTCGTCTGCTCTACCCTCATCTGACGCATTATAAAAAACACGTGTAGTACACGCCAACTAAACTACATAAGGTGGTGATTTAGACCCTCTTATCGCGACGACGAAAGTTTAGTAAACAAGTATCCATTTTTTGTGTAGTTTAATACTCTTTAACCAGTAAATTCTTTCGCTTCTCCTTGTTTAGTACAAAGGCGTGAGAAACACCGTCACTCCCTTTTGATCTACGAACTGACGTCTATTTTTAAACAGAATGGGGCATTTCGCGTGTATTTTTCTTATCCTTTTAACAGCAATTTCTCCCGGCACTTTCCACTGTCACCGTTGCTACTACTTTTGTAACAAACAAATACAATCAATTAACGGGAAAAAACATCGTTGTTTTTCGGGAGAATTTGATGAGGAGATAAGTGCTACGGAAAATGCCGCTTTTATGTCCCACTGTCCAATCGCAGATGCACGCCTGAAAAGTCAATTAGCTTCGCGTACGTAGTTCCATTCAAACAAAGTACTTCTGGGAAATTCAGAATGTTTTTATAGTTTTCGTGCGTGTGTGTTTGTCACTTTGTACCCACAATAGAGTTCATTAGCTGGCTGAGATGGACCAGTTGTGAATCGCGACACGGGTTGCCCTTTTCACGGCATGTTGCCAGCCGCGGGGATCCTCAACTCCCCCCTCATCCTCACACCTAGGTCTCGATGTTAGCTCATGTATGACTCAGGCATCTGAGGTATAAATACACACGTGCAAATCCCTCACACGACACAACGACACCAGTTTTGGTTGAGCTCTGAAGTAAACGATTGTGTCCCGTCCTCTCCAAATTCCACAACGCACCTCTGTGTTACTCACCGTTGTACGCACTTTTGTGATAGGCTCAGTGATGGCGCGAAGTATAACCGGCCGTCATTTTAAAAAATGAGATGGTAACTTTGAGGATTTCGGTGGCAACACAATTGACTCATTGACCATCAATCTTATTAAGCATTAGAGAACTTTAATTGTGTTAATTTTGCTGCGTTGAAACATCCATTGATTTTAAAGAAGTTAAAAACAGCGCATTGCTATTTGAAACTGACCAATGTGTTAGTTGTCTACACAAAATGAATTATTCCTAAGCCCTAGACGCCAGAACCGAACAATGTGGTTAGGAAAGTGACGTGACAGCAGTGAATTAATGCGCATTTAAGGAATAGAGAATCGACTGAGCACATAAATAATGAGGTGGGAGAATCGGTCGGAAGAACTATGATGTAGTTGTACTTGGTTTGAAGTTCCTTTGAAGAAATTGTCTATCAAGATGTGAATGAATGCATCGTTTCCAACCGATTAATTTTGACGGTGGAACTGGATGTCTACGTCACCGAAGTCATTGCTGCTAAAAGCTATCAGCCCAAAGAGCATCAAACGCTTTTTATGCCGCGTTAAGCCATATTAGAAGTTTGGAATCCATGCGTAAACGGTCAAATAAGAAGTACTTTTTAGGCATTGTACCAATCAACCTGCTTGAGATTTGATTAGAGAAACATATAGATGCCTTCAACTGAGTCCCGTTGTTCGATGATGGCTCCAAGTCGAGGAAAACAAACTCATGGCGATCGATGGAAGCGTTATCTTTGTTTCGATTACTCTGATAGGTCCCCCGTGTTTACATTGTATTGGCTGACGGTCTGCTTTCAGACATATAAACAAACTGGTTCGAAGTGACAGTAGCTATGGGAGTCTAGGGAATTGTGATTGGTGGGGGAAGTTGGGTGTGCCTTAGTTACTCCTTCGTAATGCGATTGCGAAACAGGTTTGACTTGGATTGAGTCGCTCTATTTGTAGTGATTCGGCTGCGATGTATTGAATCAGTATAAAATCATGAAAATTGGATTCAACAGTATCAAACCGTGCATCACGGACAATTAACTGCTCCTCAAGTTGTCCTGATGTGCTAATCAACTTTAAGTTAAACACTTTTTTATCGATTTTCGAATACCTCGATTTATGTATTGTCGCAGTTTTTATTATTGTTCGCAGACCCACGTTAGTCCAGTCACTCAGAGCTTGAAAGAACGGTCGAAATGTCGCAGAAAATGGTATTAGCAGTAATTGGAACCGCAACATCAACTACTTCTAGCCTATGGAAGGCTTGCAGGTCGAATTCAGCAGTCCATTCAAGGCCATCGTGGCCCCAAAAGTAGTCGTTACCGAAGTTCGAGATTATATATCAAGTATTTGACCTCGAGATAAACTTCACAAGTTCAGCGGTAAAGGTTTTATAATGTTGTAAAGGCAATCGCCAGAGAAGAGAACAGTCTTTTTTGTTTGATAACACTTTCACCCTCTCGTCCACCATGTTCAATTTCTCGTAGCAACCTTAAAGATGAACAGTTAGGAGCAAAGACTGTTGAAACATCGACTGCGTAACTGTGCTACCTGCTGTAAGAAAAGAACTAGCATCTGAATGCCGCATTTGGCCCGATATTAAAAGGACTTCATAACTGCCCATTAAAAACTCAACCTGGTTGTGTATTGTTACGTGTGTGTTAATGAATGACCATTGTAGTTGCTTAACAATACATTTGAGTGAACTTGTACAGGTGCAAACAAATGAATGGCCAGGTAAGTGAAGCGGATAGTAAAGGAAGCATATCCGCCTTAGCGTATGGACAAACGGTAGAACATGACTGACACATCGACCGTGACTGGAGAGCAGTCTTTTGGAGAATGCAATGACTGATTTAATTGAGAGAATAAATATATGTATTTTGAGTGTGGAATTTTTTTGGCGCTACGCTTAACAAGGTTAGTCTGAGGGAAATCGGTTTTGAAAATACTTGTTATCATAATTAAACACCGTCTGAGTTGACCAATCAACTTGGATTTTAAAAATTCAGGAACCTCTTTTGCCTGGACACTGTGGCGTCGTAGACCGCTGGATGCCCAAGGGAACTCAAATTCTGACACGCCACTTAAAAGGCTTTATTAATGGTCTTTACTAATGCTGTTGCAGGTTAATCCCATATGAAAATACGCCTGCCCTATACCTAGCTTAGAAATTACTGATCTGTAAGGTGAGTTAATGTTGGGGATCCACGATTCCCCAAGATTGGTTTCTAATTCTATTTACATTAATTTATTAACATTTGTTTTGTTACGCTTTTATCAAGTCAAGATCAACCTTGACTTGAATTACTTTCGATTTCACGACTTCTCAGCACGTGGCTGACGTGAATAAAGCTCTCTACTCGGGCTCTGGTCTTGTTCTTGTATTAGCCTGGGAAGGTCGGTTTTTGCCTTCAGCAAGGGATCTGGTGCCGTTATTTGAGTGGTCTTCTCTTTTGTTACGGGCAAACGTGACAGTTAAAGAGGCGTGGCAATTGAATTTAAGCTGTAACAGTAACCAAAGAGACGCCAACGATAAACGCTAATTCCTGCGAATAATTGATCAGATCGATCATCGTCGAATTGAAAGATCATTTCAAGGTGTTGCATAGGCTGATTTTCAAGCGTCATCTTCGTATATTTGGTTAGAGGTGGCTGGTTAAAGGGTAAACAAACAGACCAAGGTGGCTGAGAAAATATGCACCTGTGGATAACTTAGTTACTGCCACTGATTTTACGTCGCAGTCCAATGCCATGAATGGGCCATTTTTCCCAGTATGTTCAAACTGACAAACAGTTGACCTCAGATAAGAGGATTACAGTCATTTTTCAAAATGTATTTGCAAAAAAACTGACTTGTTGCCATCAGAATGGACGGGCTAAAGTGTCTTAAACAAACGGTAAATGTTTGAATGACCCACCGAAAGCAAATTCTATTCATAAATCAAAGGCCAAATCTCAACGGTTTTCTGAAATTTTAATTAGAGGGTGTGAAATCAGTGTAGGATTTTTCAGGGTGATGCATCGGGGACTTTAGAGGTGTTTCATTTGTGGTCAGTTGTTTGCTGAAATCTTGACTCTTTGCTAACTGATTGAATAAACGAGAGGTCTGAATTTTGTTCATCAATTTCTTGTGGAATGATAAAGCTGGAATCGCTAAGAGAAATGGAGAAGACTAAAAGAAATGGATTTAGGCGTTTGCTAGATCTCTTAACTATTTCTAAAAGCATATGAAATTGCAAAAACATGGTGGTACAATGTCTGTTAGTTGCCAAAATCATTGGAATTGAACTCTAAATTAAAAAATGAATAGCGTTGATTTCGTATGTAACGCATGGTATGGCTGAATAATGAGAAATACTTCTCATTACTTTTCATAAAGTGCAGAACCAAAGCATGCGCTGAGCAATGTGCTTTAAAAACAAACTTCCCCAAAATCCACAGGTAATTTTTACCATTTCTCATGGTACAGTAGCATTCAAAAATTTTATCCGCTATTATAAGGTGTTTCTGTTTTTGATTATCTTAAACATTTATGAACCTTAGCATTTAAATTACTATTAACTGACATTCGTTGGCACCTAGCACAATCCTTGCTTTACTTCTACATGTAAAAGAAATAATCAAACACAAGTTTAGATTGCAAGTAATTAAATATGGTGATCTTAAGCTTATTTATGGAACATTGATGCTTTTTTATGAAATAATCTATGGAATTTATGTCGAGAAAGCTAACTTTTATTTAAAAAAATTATCCAGAATCTAGGTAATCGCATTCCTCCGTAAATGTAAAAAGCACTGTGGCTGAGCATAAAACATCTAAAAATACGTAAACCCATCATAGAAAATTTCCTAATATATCATTTATCGCAAAAGTATTCTAATAATTCCCAAAAAGAGCTAATGAGTTTAACAAAAGAGGAATTTGTGGGTTAACAGGAAAAGTAGAATTATGGTATGCCAATTCGTCGAATTTGTGTGTTTGATTACATTTTCAAATGTCATTTAATACTCATTAAACGCATGCCATTTATGGGCGACTTCGCGAAATCGTGTCAATCCAGACCAGTCAGACAGCCTAGACTAACTATTTTAATCAGTGTGGTTCCTATTTTGGTAATTAACATCATACATTTTTATAAAAACATTGACCAAATATATATTTTGTAAAAACCAAGGTAGTGGACAATTTGTATTTTATTCATTAATACCAAAAGCTAAAATGCTAAACGTGAACAGGTTTCTAAGCAAAAACCATTGCATTACAACTTTAAGGCCTTCATTCACATTTAAGGCAAAGTATGCTAATTACGTGTCCGTTCAGTTTTGAAAGTAGATATTTTTGAAGCTAAAATATATGAAAAAACTCTAGCAGTCTAAAAAATGTTTTACTGTCAACTAAAAATAATAAGAACGCGAACTATCATAAGTATGCTGTTGCTAAAATCGTTGGGCCATGTTTGGGTAGAACAAGAGAAGCGTAATTGGGGAATAAATATAGAATAAATAGAAAAGCAGAAAGTCACATTTGGTCAAAGGTTTAGGTCCTAAAGACGTAAAAGTCCATTTTGCACAGCAACCTGAAAGACTGACAATTAATAAATTTAGAGCTAATTCGAATACACCGGTAATCGTGTTTACGATGAAATTTGAGCTATAATGACCAAAACTAATTCATTAAACAACGTACGTAACTAATGAGCAAATATGTAGATTAAACAGAGTTATAGACATTTTGAGAACTATGAAGCAAAAAATCGAATTGTTTTGATGAATTAAGCACTGAGAGCGCGTCAGTTGGAATTCGCCTGTGCTCGCCATGGTCGTGAAAGCTGCAAAGAAACCCGCCGTTAAGGGGCCATCAAAAAAGCAACCCTTAAGGTTTACGATTCAGTGCTCGGCGGAAGTTGTGGACAAAGATATTATTGACTTCGCATTTTTCGTAAGTTTACATCAGTGGCGTGTGCAGTGTCTTACTGCAGATTAGGGCCACCTTCCCTAATCCACCACGTTGTCATGCCTGTAGGAAAAGTACCTGAGGGAACACATTAAAGTCGATGGCAAGGTCCGAAATCTCGGCAAAGATGTTCATGTGGAACGTGAAAAGTCAACCATTCACGTTATCGCTTCCATTCCTTTCTCAAAAAGGTGAGTTGCTTTACACGTTTATTTCCATATTGCTTAGGTATCTAAAGTACCTCACGAAGCGTTTTTTGAAACTTCATAACCTTCGTGACTACCTTCATGTCATTGCTACAAGCAAAACCACGTACGAGTTGAAGTTCTTCAACTTCGACACCGAGGAGACTGATGACGAAAGCTAATTGCCAAATAAATTTTGTGGACTTATGTTTCTTTAACTTTTGTGTCTTCTGTCAGGCGTTTATTTCTGATCTTAACGTTAAAACTCGGAGATAGTTATACTGACCATGATTTTATGGAGTAAACCGCGGTTTTTATCAGTTAGCCATGCTTTTTTTTGCAAAAACAGCTTGTGGTCTGTTCCTTGGTTTTTCCATTTGTTTGCCTCAGAAGTGTCGTTTAGGATATGAAGCGGTTGCTGGTGCCACACTGTTAAACGTGTGGGGTCGCTTGTGCTTTAGCGGTGTGTTTGTTGCAGCCGCGTATAGCGCGATTTTCCACTACTGAGTTGTAGTAACCACGGGCATGGGCTTTCTGGGCCTGCCTAGTCGCCACCCTGATTTCCTATTGGTAGAGGCCGCGTGGGTTTTTTGCGGTTTACGCAATTATTAATTACTTTAGTCGTGTAGACCTTGCGGTTTTAATGGTTGGGTTGGGGGTGCTTCGGTGGTACGTACTAGCACGAAAAGCGGCTGGTGGGAATTGCCGCTGGCAGAAGAACGTCACTGCGCTGATCAGTAAAGGAGAAAACCGTGTTTCAATGCCATCTGTTGTAAGCTTTAGTCTGCCACAAGCTGCTGGTGTGATGTCATCCAACATTTCGACGTTATTATTAATGTTAGAGACAAGGTACTCCGTGTGGCACAACGTCGTCTTACATTTATTCAGAAAAGCATCCACCCTATGTTATGGAATCAATAGACCGTAAGCTGCCTTCGTCCAGATTTCTGTAACAACGTCCAGCCAGTCCACGTTTTCATCCAGCAGCGAAAACTTGAAGTACAGCAGTGTTGGTATAAGGGCCACACCGACGAAAATGAACGGAGGTAGAAGCCTTCCGCTGGCGCCTAGAGAAGAGGCACACTGAGTTGTCAGTGAAACGCCTCATCGTGACTTTACTAGTTCGAAGGACCTCAGTTTGTAAATGTGGTGTATAGTACAAAATGCGCATTTGTTAATGTCATTGAGAGGCAGTCTATTAGATGCCTACATAAGAGATCGGAGAGCAGTCAAGTTAAGCGATGATGGCGGGGGTGAAATCTCCCCCACTGATCTGAAACTCACTTGTGGACTCCTGGGAATGCGGGGCCTGATCACTGGCCTCTTCGTTCCCTTGACTGACCTTGTATTTTCGATCGACAGTACGGAGAAGCGAGGTATCAGGATTGTCCTCAGTCGCCGTAGTCGGCGACGCCATAGTCGACTGTTGGGATGCTGATTGTGTGGAGTCGTAATCGACTCGTTGAACCGAATTTCCGTCGGTTGCGATTACGTGCGCACTGGATGAGGGTGTCGCCATGGTGTCGGCTGGATGATTGTTACCGTGATTCGAAATTTTTTCATAGGCCTTCAAACAAGATAAAACCCTCTTAGTTTGGTGCAATAAGTCACAAGACGAAACCCCCAACGGCGATTAAGGTTGTATAGAATTTTCTATGTAGCAAGTACTTTGTTTGTCACGATAACCTGGTAGCAATTCTTAAAGTTGTCGATTTTTTGAATTTTCGCCATTATCTGGTGAATTTTAGGACATCCGAAAAACTATTAATATTTCATTGGAAATCAGCGCCAACAATTGAATGCCTGGGAGATTGAGTCCCAGTCCCCGAATGAGATAAGTTCTTTGCGGATGGATACATTGACTGGGTTCCTAGTTAAACATTGGACGAACTAAGGTGTTCGAGTTAATGGCGGTTTGTTTTTCAAAACGTTAGTCAAGGTCGGCCCACCTGTACTAAAGCAGTGACCTTGGGTCTTTCACCAATCATCCTGGACTTTTGGGGTGTTCGTAGGAATCGTTTTCTCTGGGAGCTTACAGCCGCTCTGTGTGAGTGTATGCTGCGAAGTTGTTCTTTCGGCACCACTGAAGACCCAGCGGTTTGTGTAGTCGAAATGACCGAATGTTCCTCGGTTTCTCCTTTCTTCTCAGCTGAAGTTGTGGGCGATTGTGTGGCTGGGATATATTTCGAAAAAAATATCAGTACGTCTAACTGTGTTGGAAGTGAGTATGGCGAGCGTAAAAACCTACCTGAGTTCGGGCTGGTGAAATCTTCGGATGGTTTAGTTGAATTCTCACCTGCAGCTTCATCATCCGTGGGAATCGACGGCTTAGATGGTGGAGAAGACGCCTCAGCAGCAGGAATCGACGTTCTAGCAGGCTTGTTCAAAACGGATCTGGAGACCGCGTCATGAGTGGATGGCATGTCTTCGGCAAGCACGACTGACGCTAAGGGTTGGGAAAGCCTGGGGACTGGGGCTGAATGCTGAAATGACTTGTACTGGTATGGCGGTAATGTCTGACGTTTCGGTTTAATTGGAGGCTGTAGAGAAACCGCGTCTTCAGTGTGCTCATTCTCTACGGGGGTCTCACCATTCTCGTTTCGGGAACTCGTGACAATGTGCCGTTCCACGGCCTTGAACTGCACTGGATTTGGCGAAAAGCATTTCATTACTATCGTGTCCGTATTCACTGAAAATGATCTAATTTTCGGCAATGAGGAATTAGCCAAAACAGACTCTGGTTGGAATTTCCCATTGCGAGAAACAACCTTAACTTAGTTAAGAACTTGTCGTGAATCGTGTTTATTCAATCCCTTAATCCTGTCGCTCCACCTCCTACAAGAATTCCCCTTTTCGCAGCATAAATACACACGCGCCAACACGACACAACGACATCAACGTGGCTGAGCTCAGAAGTAAATGGTTGTGTCCACGTCCTCTCCTATCTTTTTATTCTTCGCGGGTATCAGGAAGACGTAATCGGGCCAGGGTTAATTCCGTGGCCCCGGCGTGGTTCAAGAATACATGCTAGGGCCCACAATAAGCTGCTTCAATCAGCTGACTTGATGCGTCATGGGATCCTGCAGTGGATTCTGCTAGTTCACATCTACTAATCAGGTCACCGCATTTTCCGACACACTGTCCCACGCCTTACACGCCATGTCTGTCAGCCATTCTCGACCGTAAGCTCATGCACCACCGTCCATTCACCTGGCCATGCGGTTGTTTGAACTTTTACAAATTCACTCAAATTGTATAGGTCAACAACGTCATGAGTCAGACACCCAGTGGCGCGACACCCGCGTGATAGAGGTATCAAATCAACGAATCAGCCTCTCTTATTTTAATGACATCTCCAATTTACTGTGTTTCACGTCCAGTGGAAACCACTTAAATTTTGCAAAAACAACTTCAAATCTACAATAACGCTAGACACGATATCGGAAAACCAGCACTTGTGGCATTTTTTACAGGAAATCGATTAGCTGTTACCTGCTAACCTTGCTTTAAGTTCATCTGTAAATTCTTCCGGCACAGAAATGCCTGAGACCTTGGAAAATACAAACCCGAATTAAATGGGCGTTTTTGATAAAAAGAGTCACGTTACAATCTTACCTTGATCAGTCTTTGAAGCCTTTTATTTATCCCTAAAATAAAAATGGGTTAAGTGAGAGTTGTATTATCAAGATGCTCAATATCATCTAACTGACGTCAATATGTTATCGCGGCTTTGATTGGCTACTGCTGTTTCACTCGTGTGGACATTCGCTTGGCGGTCACTTTAAGCTACAGCCAATTAGTGAGCCGTGTTGCGTATTCGATTTGCTGATTGGGCTTAGTCTAGCTAAGAGCGGATTTTGGAGTCTCAAATATTTTGAAGAGGATTTTGTCTTCAGAAAAGCCTTGGTTTCCCAGAAAATCGATTCACAGGTTCCCCGAGCAAGTGTCAACGTCCTAGAGGTCAGAGCTTACTAGTGGCTCGAGTTCAAGTCTCGTCAGTGCATCTTTTTCTATTCACTTGCCTATTTACTTATTCGTTGTAAAAGAGCAATTATACGGCTCTTTCAAAAGAGCAATTGAGAATCTGAATTGAAATTGTGGTCCGAAATTCACGCATATCTAATATCCACTATGCAGTGAGTTAAGACTTGTCTTAAGTTAGTCTAAAAGTTCATAGTCAATATTGAAAACCACATTATTCAGGTTAATCCCTCTTAAACCTACTTTATACGTATCAAAACCTGTCTTTAACAAAGTCACAATTGAATATTTTAGCCTTGCCGATGTAAGGTCAAAAACACCTAACATTTGCCGTTGCTTTTGACCGATGTGACCAACCATAGTATAACTTCACATAATTTAAAATGTGCCTTTTCAGTGCCGAAAAAGCGCACTCTTAACGTCCATTAGTAAATATCGACAAACAAAACGGTAACCTCCTCCAAGACGATTAGGTCACTGACTAAAATGCGCAAAAGACCACATTGCTGTTCAATCGGTCTCAAAAGAGAGCGAATACAAAATAGACAAATTAAACATTTTTACCTCGGGCTGAATCACATTCCATTGCTTTATCAGTCGCTTGAAATTTGCAGCCCTTCTCCTTAGCAGATCGGGAACATTCAGAGCAGTAAAAGTTGTTCCTCGTGAAAACAACCTTACTCTCAGGTTTAAAATTAATGCTAAGCAAATAACGCCTGTGTTCTTAATACAACGCACCTACCCGCATTTAAAACAGTGAAAACAGTGTCGATGGAACTTTCCACTCGGTGTGATTACCCTTTCACCGCTGATTATGGCATCACAGGCACTGCATTTGCAATAAAATTGGTTTTTGAAATCAGCATAACATAAGAGCTTGCTATCTTGTACGAAATACGCTTTTTCCTCAAGGCTTATATTACAAACTGAAGGGAACCACGAGGTTTAATGTCAAATATTGGGAGTATACCAGAGCACCGAAAACAATTCTGATGAAAATTTCCCTCCTTTAAACGGTAAAATGGGGTCAGACACTTCTGACCACAAGCTGAACATACGAATCCAGGCATTATTATATTTCCAAATGCAAAATTCAAAAATTCGTTTTCTAAAAGAACAAATTAAGAGTAAACGAATTATGATGATCTCAATGTAAGGCAAACTAACACAGGCCTCAAAACGCTCTACACATCAATCGTATACGTGGATGAATATTTCATCTGAATTAGAAACAACGATATATTTGCGAATATTAATGACAGACTAACCATCAATGTTCCGTGTGACAAAGGCCAAGGTGTCATCAAATACACAAACTCCATATTATCATTAAAAATCAGTATGCAAAAGTACCAACAGTAAACACACTAAAAAGTTTTCGAGAGATAAAAAACAAAAGAGCACGTTTTCAGGGCAGCTTATCGATGAAATTTTAAATGCCAAACATGCTTGCTGCAGTGAGCTGCAAAAAAATGTTGCTTAACCTAGAATATTTCATGCAAGCAAAACCAGATGAAATCATAAATAAGTACACTGACAATCATTTGTCTTAAACAGATAGCAGCCAATACGATAGAGTAAATTATCAAAACGAGTTTTTAACGTATAATGCCAAGATAAAGAAAAAGAAAGTCCAACCGATGCACACATTGCAAAAATTAAAAACTAAAAACTAAAAAAATTGGAAAAGACCACTTAGAAATGTCAAATAAAACCATTCAAATTAGAAAAAACGCAAGCATATGCAAATAGGTGTCTTTCAAGTAAAAACGAATTAGCGGTACAAAATATTAGTTAACGAAACATTAAAAATTATGCCAAAACGTGAAAATATGATAAAGCCCATGCTCTAAATTTGCATTTCAAAATGTTGAATATAAAACGATAACACATACCATCTTTACAGATCCGCTTTACTTAATTTGACCCATTGAGGAAAGGTTAAACAACATCATCCGCAACATATCTCAAGTTTACGTCAAAGTCATTTAGAGAAAAATCAGCATTGTTCACAAAATTGTCTTTTTCATAAATTTAAAAAAGTTTCAGAGTTATGCAGAAAAAAAATTTTAAAGGGCTGCCTTTAATTGCAAATCCTGTTCAGCCCGTCAGCAACACTAAAATCGATTAAATTTTTTGTGTACTACTTAATCAGATAATTTAATTTAAGTTTCCGTTTTCCTCGTTTTACATCTTGTTGTAATTTACACATTACGAGTAAATTTTACCCGTTAACGATAATACAATTTATCTCACCACGATTATTCCATTTTAATGAATTTTAAATAAGACGATCTAGTCAATGCTGCCGTAAACTACTTTGTCAGAAACTATATCAAAGCATTCGTGCGTCAGCAGCTCCTTATATTGAAATACTGGTCCTCAGATAAACTGCACCAAAACTAAAAATTACATCAGAAGGCTGTTTCTATTGTTATCATTTAAAACAGGAACTGTCATATTATACTTGTGGAATTAAATAAATTTTGCTCTGTTTTCTATCGTGTTAAGGTAAATAAGGAGCTTGTGCTAAGTCGTGCAGCTCTGCCAAGTAATTATAAAGAAACCTGTCGATAAATTAAACATTACCTTATGAGTTCCCTACAAAATAGTTACTTGTTATTTCTTTTTACTGATAATTTTAAAGCTTTTTTCACTTAGCAAATTTGTGATATCAAAACCTATTATTACACTTGAATGCCATAATCTCATTTCGGGGCGCTGGGAAAATGCTGCCGTATTGATGCGCAGTCTCATTACATATTCGTCTGCAATGAACTCCTACTTTGTTCAAATAATTAGGACCAGTGAGACAGAGGTCCTCGAACAACCACAGAAGTTCAAAAATGTATGAGTGATTAACCGGAACAAATATTACCAAATTGATAACGCACGCTTTTTTAAAGTGCCTTCAACACTAAGCCAATTTGCTATGTGATTGGTTTCCTGATTTAAACCAATCAAATGACTCGCAGGCACGATAATTGAGGCAATTTGATTTTGACAATTATTCTTGTCGCTTTGTTGCATGTTTTTATCTTATCTGGTTCTTAACATTGATTAAAATGTCTGAAGTTTATTCTTTGTTTTTAATGGAGGCTGTCATGCAGAATAATGGTGTTCTTTCACTTGAAGATGCCTGGCGCTGCTTCTTTTTGCAGTTTCCTAATATATGGAATAATTATATTGACTTTGAGTCATTTGTGCTATCACAACACGTACTATTCGAAATTCACAACAATTACGTTTATCTGAAAGACCTGCAAACCGCCGACCCTAGCGTTCTTGTTCCTACCGGTTCTAACACTGTGATCCAACTTACACCTGCAACTGTGTATCCGCCACCTTTGCTCCAATCGCAAACTTTTTCTGCTGAAACTGAGGCTGTTAAGTATTTTCAACGACAGATTAGTCGACGAAATGAGACGTGGATCCCCATAAAGAGTCTGGCAGGCCACCTTTCTCAAGCGTCCCCTTCAATTCGAGCAGTTGTTGGGCCGCAGTCGGATTTTATGTCTTTCCTATTGCGTCATCCCCGTGTTTTTGAGGTTCAAGGTGACTTAGTGAGCCTACGTGATGATCTTAAACTTAACCTCCTCTTACGCCCGACGTCGCATTTTCGACAGAGTGCTTCTAGACGAAATCGACCCCAGTCAATGCTTATTCCGTCACCTCCATGTGCAGTTCATGGAGCTATTGGCATATCAGACTACTTAAACATACACCCACTGACTTTGCAATCAAGTCAAAACCCAGCACATTACCAGTCTTCGTCAGTGTCCCCGGGTGAACAGAAATCGCCATTTACTATTTTCATATCGGTACTCGACTACGTTGCTGTGATGTGGCTACGCAAGACGCTCAACAAATTTGGCGGTTCATCGAAACGGGGCGTTCCTTTGCAAACTTTGATGCAAGAGCTTATTTCGGCACCCAAGAACGTCAGGGATGCCACCGGCTGGACTCAAATTGAGGTTACGGAATTCCTTTCGAAATTTTCCCAACTTTTTGAAGTCGATGAATTAGCGTGCAAAAACAAATTGCTGGATAAATCGAACACAACTTTTGTTATTGTGGACTCTACGGGTACCGACAGTAACGTCTTATCGCTTGTTAATCGGAAAGGTGTCGCTTATTGCGTAGCCAAATCCTGGGGAATCATTGATCTTGGTCAACATGAACATGTCTTTTTTGACCGGTCTCTGTTCAAACATGTCGAAAATTTGACAAAGCACTTTACGGTAAGTTAAGATGTGTTGGTACTTTTTCTGAAAGATCGTGTCTGTAGTCATCCTAAGTGTTGAGGGTGGGATATATTCACTTGTTTAGGTGGCTGATTACCTTCCTCCCAATGCAGATATGTCCTATTTACTTTGTGCTTTCGCGTTTACACGGCTAGGTTTTGAGAATTCGCTAATTTTATCGTTGGTTGGTCAAAAAACATAAGCCGCAAAAATGGTTAATCCGAGAGTAAATTCACCATTTTGTATCTTTGGCACACAAAATTCTCCGTCTTTATTTAGGTTGGCGAGACTCTTTACTTTAATGCGATTCTTGCGCCGAAAGAATCTCGCGCTAAATGGCGTGCCACCCACGTGTGGAAGGAGTCCGACGTTTTGGCAGCTCAGCTCTCAGGACTTGTTCTGCCAACCGAGCATTGTCCCTCATCTTCAGAAGAAAACTCTGATTCCGGCGTTCAGGATGCCACCGTGAAGAAATCGCCGACCGCCGACTACAATGCTGCGCCTGATTTCGAAAAGCTTCTTATTGACCCTGAGTTCAATGTCGTTCGGCTTGACACCACCGGTACAGATAAGCTGCTCATCTTGCAAGAGCCGGAGAACATTGCGGACAGCGACGATGATGAGCTAGGTGGTGAACACAGTGACCGCAGCAGCTCGGATCTGAACACCATGTCCGATATTCCCAGTATCTCCTCGTGTTTACCAGACGCTGGACATGCGCAGGGGTCAAATGCAGCCCCAGGTGAGAGTTTTGTCTCGTCGGGCACACAGACTTACTCAACTGGGGACATCCTTGCAAAGCAAGTTTACCACGAAGGTATTTCCAGTGCGTAGCAGCCGTGACGAAGCCTTACGGTAGTGCATTTCACCCCTATCCACCACTCTCTATTATCAGTGAATTGAAGGCATTCACGTCTAGCGTTTTGCGACCCAATGCCCCTGCAAAAAGGCTGTGAATGAACCGACAGGTCGACAATATTTAATGTCTTCTCATGCTCTTCTCACCTACGTTTCCCTTTTTATACCAAAAGACACCTATCTCTTTGTTGGAATTACGCCAACACTAAGAAGAAATATACGTAACACGAAGTGTAATTCCGAGGATTTTAATGTCAACTAGTCAAATTGGCGCTCTGTTCGCTTGGGGAGGTTGTCTGGCTTTGCTGACACTATCTAGAGCCACGAATTTTCTTAACGTTTAGTTTTTCTGAGGGCTGACATTAGATCAGAAATTTGCAGGTGTTGTCTGCTGGGCCAACGTGAATCATGAATTCCATGTTTGTAGAAACTGTCCTACTTAACTCAATAACCCCCATAAAAGCAATCTGTAACCGGTTTTTCTGGTTGAAATCGTGTCTTTCTGGGCGAAGAAGAATGGGACCCACTGAATTTCGATTCCTGAATTTCACGCTGAAACAGGACAAGATCTGGCGTATTTTGAAACGAGCCTACCTCCACAGTAGGGGTGCGGGATACTTGTAATTACTACATACCTTCGTGGCGTACCCTCCTACACAAAGTTTAAGTACATCAATTACACGATGTGGACAAATTGCTCGCATAAGTCGGAAATGATTTCAAATACAGCGAAATCTCCCTCTAAGTGCCTGTGGATTCGCTAGGACCTGCACACACCGTCTTCCTGGAATTGATAGTGCGCATTTCGTTTTGCGTTGTGATCTCGAAATCAACTATGGGGAAAGTGTTTGTCTAATAACTGTGAGATCACAATGATTGTATCAACTCGGGCATGTGACTTGTGCGTTTGTTGACTTCATTTGGAATATGTGTGAAGATTTTTTCTTATCACAAATGGGAACGCCAACGCGTAAAATTCCACAAAACCGCCCCATCACCATCATTATCCAACAGTCTTCCTAACAAGTTTAAATTCATAATTAAGAAAAAAACTTTCATTTAAATCAGTAGTATTTACCGGCATAGCCTAAGCTGTTGATGGCCTACTTCAACAGCGGGAATTGAGTTTACTGACAGCTCAAATGACGATGTGGTTTGTAATCGCAGTCACAAGGCGTATTTCATTATTACTAACCTACCTATCGATGAGCTGATTTTTTGAAAGGTTAATTTTCGGCTGCCCATCTGTAGACTAGCAGCATTTCCGTCCATTGCAAGACGCTTATTTTGAAGTAAACGGTCTATTCGTAATTGAAATCTCCCAGAATCTCTAAATTATGCAACTAACTCGATATTGCTGGATCTTGAATGGTGCCTCTCAAAGGGAATTTAAACAATTCGTCATGTCTTCTCATAGCGCGAGAAGGCGAACGAAACGATTTATTTGCCATGTGTGCATGTGTCATTACATGTGAGTGTGTGGAAGTTTTTGATTGGCTATGCGTGATTGGCTATGCGTTTGGACCAATAAAAAGTAAAAGTGAGTCATAGACGCCAATCAGCTTGAGGCAATTCTGTTCGAAGTTAGCCTATAAGTATTTACGATCGATACTCCAGCGTATCACGAACAACACTCTCATTGGCTACGGGTTAATACAATGACTACGGTCTAATTGACTAAGAAACACACTTCAAATCTAACAAGTGGATAAGCGCTCTTTAAAAATCTTTGTTGTCGAATTTCGTGAGAGTCAGGAAATCATTGTGATTGTGCAACTACTTGCGTCTACAATCAAAGTATGAAAAATTCCCACACACACTTAAGCTGGAGTTTGCAAAGTAAATGGGTACTTTGCTTCTAATTATTAGTGACCTTGGGAGTTGTAATAATAAGATAGCAACCGAATAAAAACTGAGTCACAGAAAAGCCAACTTGTAGTTTTCAAGAAAACACATAATTCAGCTAATTAATAGTGCCTTGTAAGATAATCCATGCTTAGAGGCATTCAGTGGACTTCAGTGTTGCCTTACTAGTCTACACCAACGTAAAATTTTTTATAGTATCAGCTGACTCACACCACAAAATAATTTCACACTTGAAAGGCCTTCTGCTTGGTATTGGTGCCAATTTGACTGAATTTCAAATTGGAATAGAAATTCGTGAATCAGGACTGTTGCGGTAACACCCAATCAAACACTGACAAAGTATTTGCGTTTGAAATAAGCTCTAGTAATCAGAAAACTAACGTGAGACACAATGCCAATTCCAGAAGCAAATCGACCGAAATCTTGTCATCTCTTTAGCATCACTTGCAGAAATACTGTTAAATGCGCAAATAAGCCTTTATAGCCTTTCAAACGTCCTGCGTTCAAGAATTGACATGAATAACCCACGCAAATCAGTCAGCAGCTCACACGTGTGCCAACTTGTGTACAATTCTAATCTCCATGGAATACCTAACTGCGGTGGCATGTGCTTTCGGAAACGAGGTGCTCGTTCTAAGCCCTTCATCCAATAAAATTTAAGATGGAGATGTGACACCTTTGGAGCCAATTAGATCAGTCTAAAGTACGAAATGTCCTAAAATAAATCGTAGCTGTGGTTGAAACGATTCCCCGTCGTGTGATGACATTGAATAAAACATCAAATTTAATTGGTCTATTTGTAAACTATTTGACAACCCGTGGTAGGTTAGGTGAACACAGCGTTAACACTTTTCACCAGAATCGTAAATGCATTTATGCAGGTGATCAGTGATAAATTCACGCCATCTGATCAAGGCGAATACAAATGGACGTTGTTCACTTCTGTAGCTTTCAGTAATTTCAACTTTTGAGCCATTTATGGAACCCTTAAGAAACAGGATTTTATAAATTCGCAATTTTCAATGTTTTCCAACAAACTCCCAGACCTAGTCCAGCTGGCAAAACACACCCACAAACACATCACAAATGATATGCGAATTCTCATTAAGCTTTTTCTTCACTCGCTTCCAACTCATCGGCCAATGTCCCCTTAGTCGGTCAAACATCAACTCATTTAAGAGCTTGGATGCTACAAAACACAAATTATTTTGCACTAATCACAGTATGCTTCAGAGTGGGCGTCACCCCAAATTGGCCGTACTTGAAAATGATTGGTTCATGCCGGGCACACGGAAACCAGCATTCCCTTTGGATTTCTCCCACTCCACAAATTCAATTTTCATAATATTTTTTAGCTTGAGTGCAAATACTGAATAATCAGACTTGTCCTCCTTACCGCTTAATGTAACAAAATTACATTTTTTTTTATAAAAAGGGGTGATTTGAAAATTACCGAAAACCTCCTTGACCATGTGGCAAAAATTTTTCAGTTCCTATTTCATGTTTTTTGTTTACGTTACCCAGGAATATTGTAAGTTTTCACATGCAAATGTGAGATAATACCGTCTTGATACCTGCAGCCTCGTCTCCTGCTAATGCCAGTGCCAATGACAGTAACATGCTGGGAATTTTTTAAAAACCCTATTAGTGCTGAGCGTTTGAGCTACTGAATCGATTTCTGCATTGGGTTTGCTGATCACCCGTTCAAAAATATAATCCAATCAAATTTCGACCCTCAAAGTAACCTGGTAGGGGCTCTGCAACCGATTATCAACCAAAGGAAGCCAATTTTGTACATCTGTTGCGAAGTAGCATGTGCCTTAAACTGCAATGAATGTAGAGTAGAGCAACGGTACCATGTTTCGCATAAGGATGTGATTTAAATATACATTTTGAATTACCGAGACCACATCAAACACGAAGACCTGGTCAGTTGTTGACTGTTGTTAAATCAATTTTTTAAGGGAAATTCTTACATTTCAGAGGTTGCCCAAGCATCTCACAATGGTTGAGTTATCAGACGAATTTGGTTACTTCATGTCGTCTGTTTCAGTGAAGCTGGGATTAAGTAAGCTCGTGTCACCTCAGATCTCAACATTTAAAATTACCCATTAAGAAACGTGTCTAACGGGTACCCTTAGAGCCATAAGTGCGCAATCTGAAGGCATTTCTGAGGTGCATAAATTTGCCTTCGTTAAGAGGAATGCAACCGTTTGTCGGGAAACTGCAGCAAATTTGGTGCAGCTGTTTCGAAACACCAAAAACACGATTAACACTGACCGCCACAACAGGACCAATTTCCTTCTGCTTCATCTAACTCGAAAGCCAATTTAAAATATGAATTTTGTTCAAATTGGACGAGAAAGGGGTAATTAATTGGCTGTGTGCATCATGTCAGATTTCAAATTGAATAAGGTTATCCACGATGTGACTACACTGCTTTGCAGCACAAGTTGGCGAATCGGGTCTCAGTTGCAATGAATCCGCATGACGTCACACGAGAGAACCGAGTTGTTTGCAAAAGTTCTCATGAAGTAGAAACTGATGAAATAACGTCTCTGGCTTCGTACTATATTCACATTTAAACGCGTTTTGTAACTGCAAATAACGACTTCATTGTGGAATTGTGTTCACTGCAGACTATGCGGACGCTGTGCATTTAGACATTGACATCATTAATTTGTACTGTTGTGAAACGTGTTTATTCACACCCCTTAATCCGGTCGCTCCACCTCCGACACAGGATTCCCCTTTTCACGGCATGTCACCAGCCTCGCGGATCCTCAACTCCCCCCTCATTCGCGCGAAAGATTATCCTCACACCTAGGTCTCCATGTTAGTGCATGTATGACTCACACATCCGAGGTATAAATACTCACGCGCAAACCCCACACCCGACACAACGACACCAACGTGGTTGAGCTCTGAAGTAAACGCTTGTGTCCACGTCCTTTTCGTTCTTTTTCTCCGTTGCGGGTATCAGGGAAAAGTAATCGGGCCAGGGTTAATTCTATGGCCCCGGCACGGTTCAAGACCCCATGCTGGGGCCCACTACAGTACTATTAAAGACATTACTATGCCACCCTCAGTGTGATTCTGCAAATGATGTT